TTTGGTAGATGCTTCCCCACAGATGCGTGCACAGTAGAGATAGTTTCATAGAGCGCCCAAGTTCTGGACCAGGTTCAGAATGCACGGTGTACTACACTTAGCGTCTTCCTACGTATTCTGTGCGTACGGTCCGTTTCTTGCTCTTCCGTCCATTTTCCTCTTGCACACCACAATGCCTCTTTACTGAATGCAGAAGTAAGCAGGTGCCGCTTCGCGTTCGGTCTTCCAATGCTGTCAGGAGGCCCTGAGTAGTGCTTTCCGTTTCTTCCGATCTGTTTTCTTCTTCTGTCAACCTGCTGAACTCATACTACAGAACTACAGGCTTTTGAGGCATATATGCATAGCCAACCGAAAACAAAGTGCTCGTTTTGTCGTGTTGCATTGCTTCACGCATTGTTTCACCAATCACAAGGTCCGTCGTCCTCGCTCTACGGGTGGCTGTGACGACGTGGCGGGGCGCTTGGAGTGGTTGTAACCCACTGAAAAGGGCCTGTTGAGGGCGACGCAGTCGATTCCTTTGTTGAGTACTGGATATGCTGGGGCTTGTTCACTCAGCTCTGGGAAGCTAGCGCTTTCAGGCTAGATGTTCTAGTGATCTGTGAACCGTTGATTGCTAACGTGCGGATAAGTCGCACTAGCTGCGGCCCATCGCTGGCCTAGACTAAATTGGATCTTCCAATAAATTAACGCAGTGGCTGTAGTACACTGGGTTCTCTGCAGCGTCTACGATGCTGCGCAGCCCACAACTCGAGCGTTCTATGAAATATTCTCTACTACCGAAGTATCGGTCGCGTAACGTCTACAAACGTATTAAAAGGACCGTTTTGTTTCGAGTTCTCAAAACCATATTTTCATAAAAGTCTTTTTTTCTCGTTCTTGCTGTGCTGGTCCGGTGAGGATGTGACACGCACCTGTGCCGGCGTTGTCGGCAGCCCCAAGCATAGAGCATCCGCAGGTATTTCCAGTCTATACATGTTAATTTGTTAATAAATTGCATTTGTATTTCACTAGTGAGAGGCTACAGCGCTCAATCCACGTCTCAACCTCTTAACTGCCTATAGGTCATCCTCTATAGGTCACCATGAAGCGCCATTGTAGCGCCTGCGCACTATAGTCGCTGAAATTAATGCGTGATTCAGCGTCTGTTTTTTCCCCGACTATTTTCGCCTCAGTTTTCGTTCTAGAGCGCTTTACGCAGTTCCGTGGACTCGCGTCTTCACGTTTTCTCGGCCTCGGAGGTCTTGTCAAATTTGTCTCTCCGCAGTACCAGAAGCTCCGCAGCTCTTACTGCGTGCTTGCGTTGCATTTCGTCTTGACACAATTCTTTGGCGCTGTGAGCTGCAAGATGAAATGTTCACGCAGGATTTCACCTTCAAACCCTGTAATGAGCAGACTGCTGTGTTGATGCACTTCTGATTCAGGATTTTAAGTGGCCCGTGCTGCCAGCAGCAAGTTTACTCGCCTTACAGTTCCACATTAGAGCATTTGGCTTCGGATGCATCTCGTGGACATCATGGTGCTGTGACTGGTCGCATGTGGCGCGATTCTATGCCAGACAAACAAACAAAAAGAGCAACAGTGCATCTGCTTCCTGATGTGCACGAAAAGGAAGGGAACTGGCATTTCTGAGTGCGGATTTCCTTCGTTACGTCTGATTTTCCAGACATTGTGCAGCTAGCATATCCAAGTCTTAGTACTGGACCTCAGAATGCTTCACACTAAACGACTCTGAGCTGCTTCGTTTCAGACGGGTGCCACTTTAACATTTGTTGAAGCGCGCTAGGCCTCCTGTCTTGTTCGAATTAAATTCGCAGTAGTTAGAAAGTTACTTAAGTAATTACTGAATGACTAAAGCCCTCACAAATTTGTTTTCAAGAGATCTCAATGAAACTTATCATCTCCGCAAATGCAAACAGGTTCGTAAAGTAGTAATCAGACTGATGATTACACAGCACAAAAGTTTCATCCTTGTATAAAGCCAAGCAGTAAGTAAGAATTTTAGTAAGCCTTCATATATGATAGCTGGGTCACACAAAAAGTTCGCGGCCAACTCACCCCAGTGGAGCCTCCCCAGTAGCTAGTCTGCAAGGCTGATGAGCTACAGAAAAGGATAGGTGAGATGGTGTGCGATGCGTTTTAGCTAATGTAAAAGCCGTATGTCTCCAACTTCTCTTGCCGTCAGCTTTTGTCCCACTCTGTGTCAGCCTTGCATTCGTTTCACCGCATGGGATTTTGTCCTCTTGTGTAGCAGTTAATCAAGTTTTCTAGAGGAGTCATTATACTGGCAGCTTCGCTTGAGTTTTATCCTTCTTTTGCTCTACTTCGAAGGCAACGACAAAACAATGAAATTCTCCACTTTCCCGGCATAAAGAAAAACTTCTTTTCCTTGTAGTTTGTTTCATCGGAGATCTTTTCTGATGTGGCATGCTTTGCAGTGAAGATACAATGGCTTGAGCTTTTCTGTATCACGCTTGGTCATGGAGGGTTTCTCGTAGTACTACTGCCAACATTCGGCTGGCACGCAGTGCAGCTCCGCACTCGAACTTTCGGTGCACTGCAGGTCAATATAGCTTTCCGCAATTTACAGCTTGTGCCACTGAATCTCTGAGTACTGCCTGTCCTCGTACCGTTACCAAGTAAAAAGCAATGCTCCGTTCCGATTCCTCCCCGCCAGATTAAAGATTTCTGCAAAATTCACACTGCGTTGTACGGAAGTGAAGCAGCTAGACGTAAAATTGCCCCTTACACAGATAGCTGCTTAGGGGAGCTTTAGTGCGAAGGCAGTACTATGGCGCTTGCTGTTGATCGTAAGAGGGCAGCTAGCTGGTGACTCATAACCGGTTAGCACGTACAACAAGCGCAGCAACTTCTTACAAATAACTACGTAAGACAATTTAGCAGCATGATAGCATGTGTAAACTAAAAGTGTCTGTGCATACCCTAAGATTGGGGCTGGCGAGGACGCCAGCTCATTTACCGGGCACCGCCCTGTACGAGTGCCGGGTCTATGATTCTCGATTTTTAAAGGACGTTCGATTGACAGACATGAATGATAACGGGTCATTAGTTGTTTAGTATTGTTTCATGATGTATGTGTGTCGCTAGTAGAGAATTTGCCAGAAGGGCTCCCTATTTGTGCGACAGGTAGTAACGTAGTAGGAAAGGAGAACGCTGCGCACTACAGGAGCCCTGTTTGTCTCCAGTCAGAGAACTGAAAAGATATTGAGAAGCCAGCAGCTTCAACACACTCATCTTTGTTAGCCCCAGTCACCTTAATTACTCTATGGGTAGCGCCACAAGTAGTTGTATCCCCGCTGTGGAGACAAAACAAGCAGGACAAAGGACCGAACTGTCACCCTCTCTGATGTTCTATTCCGGGAAACGTGGAACTGTCCTTCCACTGGTCACGCCTGTAGAGGCTGCAATTCGTGAGGCCAACTAAAAGGGCGCCTCAGAAGATGGTGTGAGTGTCCTCAAAGTTCCAAATAGCTCTCCTTCTTACTCATTCCGAAAGTCCGCTTGCATATATTTCCATTCACTCACTTAAGTCCTACTAACTACTGTGACAATTTTTTTAGCAGACACGGCAAGACGTAGTTGGCGAACTCACTTCTGCTATGAACGGCTGGATCATGCTCAATGTTTTGAACAAAGGGTTAGCAGTTGATACATGCTTGTGGCTATCTCCTTTTATACGTAAGAATACAAGTAAAAGTATTCTAATGATAAAAGCATATCGTTTGGCAATGGCGCCCTAGAATATCGCGAAATTCAGTAGAAGTACGTCTGCGGCTCAGTAGTGCGTCTGAGGAATGGGGATCTATCGCACTGCTAGGGAGCCATAAACCAGAGGGCTGGATGCACAATAATAATTTCACTGAAAGTGATAGAGTGCCTAAGCTGAGTGGTACAAAGTCGTGAGCATTGAACGCATTCCATATGATTGGTATGTGCCAAAACGCGAACGTCCTCATCACAGGCGCCCAATCATACCAATCATACCGTGCTTGGAATCTGCCTCCATAAGTTTTTCTCTGCAGGTTTCGTTAAATTTAAGGGGAAAAGGGAATAGCCTATGCACGAAGCAGTGGTTGAATATTCATTCATGCAGAAGTGACTGACGGCAATCTCTCCCGTGGCGATGATGGGGCTTGTTTTATCCTACATCAGATGATAGGTCTTTTTTTCAAGATAATCAACACTGATGTGTCCTCTTCTACTCTTTTGTCCTGGTTTCCAATTTTATGTATGGACCAAGAAGCTGTTGAGCGGATGATTTGTGTTGGATGTGGTGAGGTCACTCTTCGCGTAGAAACAGCGTAGCGCTACTCGAGACACAAGGGTCGTCCACAATTCACAATTTAAGCTCGTAAATTACATCCATATAGAAGTTTAGGGTATGGACAGGAATCTATGGAGCTACAGTCATCTACGAGCTCCACACCCTGTTTGTTCATGATCTAGAGCATGCATATCGTATGGCGTTCGCTCAGATACGCTTTACCAGTGATGATGCCACTCTTGAATGCATATGGAACGATATTATTCCTCTTGTAAGAAATTAAATGAGTCTACTGGAGTAAATTCATTCAAGGATTTTTGTATCACCCCACACTACTTGGGAATGAGTGAGCTCCAATACGTCACTCCTTCACCATTGCCGCCGACACGATCGTCCGAGCTTAGCTATTTGACGCTGGCCAGCAAATTTTTACTTTTCGGCCACTGATGGCACCAGTGGGTTAACGTTGCAGAGCACTGCTGGGACGTTGAACCCGGGCTTCTTTTGCGCCTGTTGTGCAGCGGTGTCAACAGATTGCCGTCTGACAACTGGCTGGCGAAAGCAACCACTTCCAGCCATTGCTGCCAACGTCTCCGGGAGACACATGCGAAATGTGCTTTCGACGAGAAAAGCTGTGCTAGACTTAATGGCCTTGTGCGAACATGGTATACAGAGCAGAGGCACTTCGGCTAAACTTCCTTGAAAATTAAAGTTGAAGATGTCGACGGTAAAGGCGATGAGCTCCGATGTCCATCGAATTTCTTCTGTAATGGATGAGTTGACACAGAAGCTGACCTTGCTCACGTTTGCCAGCCATCAAGTAGGATAGCCACACGTTTCCGCATTTGTACACGGTGTACTTGGCCGCCCTTCGTTCTAGCGTGGTGTTCCATCAGTTCTAACAGTGCCACTGAAAGATAAACAACTTGGTAAAGTAACCAGTATGCCAGAAATGTAAATTTCACAGAGTACTTGGATGCAACAAGTCCGTTATCTTGAAATATTCCTCCTGTAATTCGCATAATAGATATCGGGTCAGTGAGTTTCAGGTGTTGGAAGCAATTCAGGACAATGATTCTGGGCACCTTTCAGAGATACTTGGACCTGAGGTTTTGAGACGCATGGCGGAGCAGACTAGACTTGAGGAGCTTTACCATGGGAGCACTATAACAAGCGATGAAGCTGCGGTAGCATCTCTAGATGTTGATGATCTGCAGGAAATTGTTGAGCAGTTGGAGAGGAACACCAGGGAATTGTGCAGAAAACTGCGAGAGGTGCCAAACGTAGTGCAAGAGTTGAGGGGCTTGCAGGAAGTGAAACCCGTCAACTCCATGAAATTCATTCATGCTCTGGCAGATATGCAGGTGAGTCGCAACTGCGAAACTGAATGCAGGAGGATGCATAATTGTCGCAGTGACTTGCACTATATAGCGGCTACACTTATGTGCAGTTGAGACTAGTGAGACAGGAGAAGCCTTGCTAGGCTCGCAAAAGTATTAAGAGAGGAAAAGAGTCCATTCGAACAACGACCACTGCGTATGGTTAGGGGTGACATAAAGACACGCCTGTCCTTTTCAAAAGTGGCATCGCAGGAGGTAATGCTGAAGCGACTTACAACACCTGTAGAAGACGAGAAGGCGAACGACGATCTATTACAGATGTACCTCCAACAGGAGCGCGCCGCTGCAGAGCGTCGCGCTGAGTTGGAAGCCCAGCTGTCACAGCTACGTACTGCAAGGCAGAAGCACGCCTCCAGATCATCAGAAGCGATTGCAAAGCTGAAATCTGACCTTCATGACATCCAAAGCACCACAGAGCAGCGGTTGTGGCAGATGAACGAGGAATTTGCCAGGAAAGACTCGCAGCAGACCCGTGCTTTCCAACGAAAAACGGGAGAAGCTGCTGCATTCAAAGCCCAATTAGAAAAACGTGGGGCTAGTCAGGCAGCGGCAGCACGAGAGGATATGGATGTGAGGACTCGAAATCAACGAATAGCTAAACAGGAACTGGAAAACTCGGTGAAGTTGCTAGACAAGGAGATCGCCCAAAATGAGAGAGGTAATTCTTCAGTGTAAACTCAGCTCTCTGGTGAAGCCTTGCACTGGCAGAATCAACCTTTTTTATCTATGCTGCTCGTGCAGAAGAATTGTCAATAGAATGTATTCTGGTGATCGGTTGTTGTGTATTCTCAAACTCGTGACCCCATACGCATGCAGAGATTCAAGCAATGAAACTAAGAAACCGAATGGATGAAGAGTCTCTGGCCTGCCTGACCAGAGCTTTAGATGCAATCGATGCGGAAAAAGAGAGGAAGGACAGTGCAGAACGCATCTCCAGAGCAGTTTATGCGAGAGCAGAAGCAGATCGAGCGAAAAAAGCAGTCGCCGCTTGCCTGCTGCAATCATACTGGCGTGGAATCAATCAGCGTGAAGAATACATAGCGTTGAAGAGGGCAGCGGCGCGGAAAGCGAAGAGAAGAGCGAAACGTACCAAGTGAACGAGCTCGGAGCGGTCCCACGTCGCATCTGTCGGCGCCTGGAGGCCAGGAAATGGAATTATTCGGAGTATCTGTATGCAAATTTGAATCTAGAGAAGCTCAGCAGGAATATGGTATATATCTTTGCGGCGGCACTTCACTACATAGCTCAGAGACAAATCAAGCTCTTTCTCTTATATGGGTTCGGAAGCGTGTTGGACTTGAAGCAAAAGTATCTACGCAATCGTGCTAGTAGTAACTGGCGAACGATTAACGGTTTTGCTTCGTGCCTTGTTGAATTTGCCAAACCACTGTTGACTGCAGCAATGTATCGTGCATGTAGATTATTAGGGTGGGCGTGACACTTCAGACTAGTGAGTGAACTGTAACAAAGTGCACGTGATTTTCAGACAAAGCAGCAAAATTCGGAAAGGCTTCGCATTTCTGAGTAGGTCAAATTCGTTGCCTCACACAGAAGTATGTGTCTATACAAATCAGGGAAGCTCGGGACGTAATCGGCATTCGATGCCAAAAAGTGTGTTTGGACCCTCATGGTCGCCGCAGCATATGCTGCTTCTGGAAGCCAGCTTCGTCGGCGTCGACACAAGCCGAGCTGAACCGCTGTCCTCAGTGTTTTCTTGCCTTTGAATTCGCTCCGTGGTTTTGCGGGAATTTGTTGGGAATCCGTCAGAAGTAAACTTTAGGACTTCCGCTACACCTGCGACTCGCTCAGCGTTTTGGCTTTCTCCAGTAGGCTGCCTTGCAGGCCCCCTTGTGCCCTGTGAATATTTTCTACTCTCTTCTGCGTTTTCTTGCGTTGTTGAGCTCGACTGAAGCACGGCCACGTCATTCTTTCCCGCATTGTGTTTGCGGTTCTGCTCTTCTTTTCCATTATCACCTTCTGCTCCTTCGGCTGGTGCGGGCGTAGTACCTGTCGGAGAATGCCTTCGATCCAACGCTTGATTTCTTTCCTGGGTTTTTCTTTTGTGGACTTGTTTTGTCTGCTGTTCTGAGTTTCCATGAGAGTTCTTTTTTGCAATTCCCGATATTGCGTTTGCATTGGCATCTTTGTGTTTCTGTGTCCGTCGCCCCCCATCTGCACTCTGGTCGATTTGCTGTGCATGGTCGTTCAACTGACCTTGAACTTCATTTTTCGTTGGTAACTCTGCAGCAGGCAGATGCACATGCGTGTACTAAGAAAGGTTTCTGCATGAATATCAGGGTGTTAGGCATTGCCTTAAAAGTCGGTGAATTTTACAGATTATACCGCTTGCGAATTTCGCGGAGCAACCAGAAACCGTACCCTCTTGCAAGATATTTTGCTGAAACCGCTTCGACTCATTTGGTGTGCCTGCGCGAGAATTCAAGTCCCTCCGTTTTTCGCTTTGCACTCGAGGTTTCTTGGAATTACTTGCTCTTTGATGCTTTTTGTCCTGGATCCCCTGCGCAGTGCTCGCTGGCAATATCGAAGTCTCTTCTTCATTCTGGCACTTTTCCTCTTGGGAGTTGTCTTTACCCAATGTGTAGTAATTTTTATCTCGTGCAGGAGCCCTAGATTGTTTTGCTTTTTTTTTTGAATTTTCAGCAGGATTTACAGCAGTTCTACGGACCTCATTAACCTGTAACTCCGCCTTCTGTTCATCTATTTTCACTTCACGGGACCCTGGCAAAGCTCGCCACGAACCGTTTTCTTTTTGTGTTTTCGATGTTCCTGTGTTGTTTATAGTTGCGTCATCGTATTCGCTCCCTGCACAATTGGCTAGGGAAACTGGCAGCTCTTTCTTGTGTTCTTGTGCGCCCGACTTTTTTTTAGTTTTTCGGGTCGTTTCATTTCTTTCAGCATGAACTTCAGAAGACGTCAGCAAGGCGCGCTCTTGTCTTGGTCTCGACTTTTCTTCGATGCTACGTGCAGTTTCCTGTTTGCGTTTCTCGCTATTTTTTGAGGAAGGCCGCAGCGTCCGTTTATGTCTTTCTTGGCTCGATTTTTCTTTCGTCCTAGTGGATTTTTTTCCGGAAGCTTTGGCTTCTTCTCGTGAAGATTGCCCTTCTTCTAGAGAGGCAAATATGTGGGGTGAGGTGATGCCATCGTTGGGAGCCTTCTTCTCTCTGTGCCTATGTTTCTTCGAATCAGGGCGAGTCTTGTGATCTGTGCGGTGGTTTTTGTCATGGCGTTCCATTCCACGTTTCATATGCGCTCTTTGCCCTCTAGTTTTTGTATCTTTTCCCGCATTACGACTTTTGTACTGCTGGCGCCTTTTGTTGTTTCGGAGATTGCAGGAGGGAGAAGTTTGGGCTGGCTGTGTAGCGTTATGGATGCGTTTGTGTCTCATCGGGCAGAGCCAGCAAAGCCCTATGAACGTGCCCTTGCTTCCCCTTGAAGGACACTGAAGTAGCCGTTTGCAGCCACACGCCCTAAGGCGAGTGAAGCAATTGCCCTTCATCTTCTTGCACTGGGAGCAAAAGCGCCGAAACGGATCACAACATTTTAAATGCTTCCTACAATAGCGGCTACGCAAGCTCGTGACGCTTTTCCCTGCCTTTCCAGAAACCTTCTTGCATTGTTTCTTGCACGTGAAGAAGGCGTAGGAAAAAGATTTTCTGCACCTTTGGCAGCTCCTTGGTCCACACTTTCCACAGGCCTTTCTAGCTCTCACCGCAACTTTTGCTGACCCTTTGTACAGTTTCTCCATAACTTTAGCCGTCAGCTTAAGCGGCAGCGCCACTGCCTTACCGAGGTTACGCACTACAAAACTCATGGCTCTACTCCACTCAAGGAAGGTGAAACCTCAGCCAGCTGTAGTGTAAGAGTGTGGGAAGAGGTGAGGATGTTAGGCATTCACCCACTGCTCCGGTTATTCTAATTTCATGCGGTATAGACTACGGGCCTCCGAGTACCTGGGGGCGAGTAGCTGGGGGCAGTTAGTGTCGGTTCAGCTCTATCCTGGGACTCATCCGAAGCATGGATGGTGAAAGATTGTACTCATATTCAGTGGGGAATGTTCTGTATGTGGTGCTTATAAGCGAAACTGTAAGAAAAAGCGGATCGACGGTTTCTTCTAGGGTGCTCACGCAGACGAGGCGCATGCTGCGTCTGAAGGGTATAGCTAGCTGTGGCTGTGCAATAGTTTCTCCCACACTAAAGAAATGAAATCGTGAGTGGCGGCAGAAGAAATGCTGCGGCAACGATTAAGAGAGCTGATGGTCCTTTTTCCTTGTGATGCACTGAAACAAATAGTTAGCACATGAAACCACGCACTTCGATAGTTGATGGGTTTTCCCCTGTGCATTATGATGAGAGCAGGGAAATGCCCCCTTTTTCTGCTGTATATAATGTTTCTTGCCCTAAGTAGCACAGTGGTGTGCATTTCGGAAAATGAGCCTCACAGGCTCGCTTCTTCGATTGTAGGCTCTGTCGCCTTCCGCTTGTTTTTCTTTCATGAGCACCTCACCAGCGCAACAATTAATATGTGCTGCTACTGCACATTCCCGAAAACTCAGCGGTAACGAAGGCCATGTGCGATGTATCCTGTGACTTGAACGGGGACACCGCCGTCTTTCTGTGGCATGATTGAGTTCCAGGATTGTGTTATTATTTTCGAGCGGCATGCCTAGCACAAAGCCTGTGCTACACCATACCAGAGAATTCGCACATACAGCAACATGCCAAAAATTCTGACATGTTTTGCAAGACAGGCGAAGACAATGTCATGAAGTAGTTGGAGCAATGTTTCTGCATGAGGACCACCCAAACCATAACACTGGATCCAGTGAACTGCCCATCAAGAACCGGGACGGCAGGGGCCTGCACTACTGGAGCTACTGAGGAGGTGAAATGAAGAAGAGACAAAACCAACAGTTGTTGAATTTTAGCTTATGCTGCCTCTGTAAGCACGGCCGACGTCGACTCCAGGAGTTCAATGGCCAAACAAAACCACACTAAGCGTTCGTTCATAAAATAATCTGCTCTCGGAAAATCTATCCTTCTCGTCACAGTGACAGAGGGGTTGCTGTCTGTGTGGCCAGCCCGTCTACAGAGGTGTGCCACGCAGCCACGCAGCCAGTCTTGCGACGACTTAGTTCCCGGCTGCTGTCCCAGAATAGTTGAACTTATATCAACCGTCTCATTCCATAAAAAAGATTCTAGCTTTTCTTTTAGTGGCAAACGCTGGTGCTTTCACGCCCACTTCCAGAGTATGCTGAGTTCAGGTCCTATAGGATCAGTGCTTGAGTACGTCTAGCGGCCCCAGCTCCCAGGCTTCAGGGGTTACCAAACTACCCACATTTTCCCATGTTTACGAAAATAAGACAAAGTCAGTTGTTGGGACGTTAACTTGGTCCTCCATGCCAGCCGTTAGTCTGTGCACTGAATGCGTCTACTGTATTGGTCACCGGAGCGTGCGAGGTGACCCCACCACAGCAATCCCCGAGTTAGTCATGAGTTCCCATTTCTTGAATGTCCCCTAGCAGCAGACAGAAACTAGGACTAAGGAATAATGGATGGACAGGATGGGGCCGGACAGGCCACATTTGTCCCTGTTTCACCAGATCCAGGAGCAGAGACTGCTGCAAAGACACCACAAGCACGAGCCCTGGTTAAGAGCGGAGCTGACAATCCGGCGCCTGATAAAAAACCGAAAAATGCTTTCTCCAGGTTTTATGAGGGCGTATCAACAAAAAGGCTTCGTGTCGACAGCCGCATTCGCCACCTCTTCGGTATGAGTCTAAGTATTGCTTACGCAATTCTTGCACTGTGGGTTGTAACCTACAAAGAATGCCCTTTAGACGACCTTGGTAATCCGATACCAGACTACCAGCCCCCACAGCCTTGTGTTCTCGATGATATGGGAGAAAAAGTAGATCCTGATTGCATAGACCCTCCTGATGCATATGCTCGGGTGGAAAACATATGTTACATGTACTTGGTCAATGAATTCGCTTTACATGTAACTTACGTCCTGTATGTCAAAGTATGGACGCTAGGAGGAAGAAGCGTGGGATTTTGGAAGGAAATGTCGGGGTACATTGGCTATTTTGTTGTCGAGTTCATTCTGAATGCTGCCCCCTATCACATTCAAACCTTTCCAGAAGTCCGCGAAGTTTTACCCTTCCTTAACACATTTACATGGCCATTGTACGCTGCCTTTATATTCGGATCAATTCTTCTAATTCCCTTGGGTGTGTACCTTGCAACGACTAAGGACCAGGCTAGGCGAGCTCTGACTTTCCACCTACCTGGCATCATATTCTTTGGAGTAGACGTGTTTAATCGTACAGTCTTTTCACCAGTTTTCGACACAATGCAGCATAAGTTTGCTCAGCTACAGCTTAGTGCAGTCATATCTTTTGTTGGGGAGTTAGCCGTGGCAAATTTCTACGGATCAATTTTCTTGCCTGGGACGCACAAGGCCACAGTTGTAATGGTTGAGTTCGGATACAACCTCTCTTATCAAGTTTACCGTGAGTTGCCCTCTGTAAAGGAAGGGCCAACTGAGGAGCTCCTACCGCAGGAGAATGAAGAAAATGAAGATGGCGTGCGTGCCCTTCTGGAGGGGCTAGATGGCCCTGAAAGCAGCAACGTTTTGAAGCAGAGCTCAGAAAATTCTACATCTGGGCTAGGAGCCAGAAAGAGTGGGCATTCATATGCATCTAGTAATGCGCGGCAGGCATGCACTAGTGAACGTAAGCCTACATCTGTGGAGGGGAGTGTCGCCGGCGATGCAGACACATATCAACGCACTCGCACAGATAGATATGCAAGTGCCAGCCACCAGCGGGGAGGCAGAGCATCTGAACAGAGAAGCCGAAACTCGCGATTGGGGTCAAGAGCCTCAACATTCAGCGCTGCAGCGCGTCAGAGCCGTGTGCTCGCCCCGATTCTCGCGTCTGTCGAACACTTTCCTCCAAGGGAGCCCTACGTTCCAGTGCGCCCTGACGGACCTGATCCCTTAGAGCTTGACAAAATCATTTGCTGTTTCTCGATTATCTGGGATGCATGGAGGTACTTACTCATCCGTAATGTGCTGATGAAGGCTTCGAGTATTTACCTGTACCTCCTTATGATTCTCAAGGATTTTGCATTCTCCTACTGGCATTTTGGGTACGCGTTTACGGAGAGGAAAATTTTAAGTGCCATCGAGGGTACCACAGCGGAGGAGCATACGTTTTGGGATAAAACCAAAACTTTTCTGGTTAAGGCATTTCAGGAAGCCATAGTTAGGCCATTTTTTCTCACTAACTTCTTGTCGACAACAGTTTGGAGAACAGAGGTGATTTTTGGAATGAACGAGAAACGGCAGAACTACAGCAACAGCGTATATGGAGAACCACGCTCTGGACCTCAAGAGGACCGTGTATCGTTCCGGAAAACGTTTAAACATGCTGGCGCGCGAAAGCCAACAGCTTCCGATTGGGCTTACGCACTTTCTACAGTAGCAGTGCAGAAAACGAAACATACGAAGGGCTTTCTAGGCAGCCTCTGTAGTGACCTTTGGGCTTTACTAGTCCTCACTGTGCGGCGTGACTGGCGACACTGGAAAGAAAATACTCTAAGCAGGTACAAACACCCAGTGGAACATTGGAAAAAGAGGCTCAGCACTTCAAAAGGCGTGGCCTCAGGGTCAGAGAAGCTGGAGAAGCTGAATTATGACGACCTTGAGTTGCGGTACCATTTCGCTAATGAGTGTTGCATAATTCGCCACGTGCCAGCAAAACCAAAAACACCCAAGCGGCGGAGCACTTCCCAGATCTCGTCAATGGCAGAGGAGTTGCAGCGGCCTTCAGGACAGTCAGTATTTCGCCGAATTAATGCAGTTTGGCTCTCAAAAGTGGTAAAGGAAATCCAGTCCTGCGTGTACAACCGGTGCTGGCCACGCCTACTTCAGAAGCTTATTTCATCAGCTGTCCTCGTTGCAACTGAACTGTTCGCTGAGAACAGTACTGTTGGACTACTACCGTCTTATCAGCAGGTCGGGCCTTCTAAATATACCTGTCGAGGGTATCAAGTGGTTACAGGCAGTTATTAAGCTTCAGTTGTGTTCACAGCAAGCCTAATCTGCGAACCTCCATACCGTAGGCCGTTTGTTGCAAATTAGCCTGCACTGTAAAAGCAAAAGTATGGTTCGGTGAGGGGAATGCGGTGCTTTCCTTAAAGGTGACATGCGGATGTTTTTGCCTCCTTGCGTGCAGTATGGCTTGTTTAGGGACCCGATGGGACGCTTCAGGGTCATTTTCATTTTTGTTATGGACATCGCTGAGGTCTCATCCGTCTGGTATACGCAGGCCCAATCACGTTTTTATCAAAGCATAAAATACGGTTATAATCTCTTTCATAACTTTCCAATGATATTGCTGTGCTCTTGCAACTGCGCGGCCCAAGTGATGAACTTTGCAATGGTTCGCTATATTCGTTTCGCTCCTATTTGCGGCGACAAGCGCGTCCTTCCTGAAAACGTGAAACAGGATATGCTTATGCACCTCAACCTTGTTAAGTACTGGGATCAACCAGAGATGTAGCCAAAACGTTTGACTGGGTTCATGAAACAGTTGAATCTGCACTGCAGTGAACTCTGTGTGGGCCTGTAAAACAATTTCAAGCCCCGTCAAGCCCACGGAGACTGGATAAATAAAAGTGGATGTGGTTGAATGCCAACTGCTGGGGAGCAAGAAGGGCTGCCACAGTGCTTGCCTTGGGCTGCATAACCACCATCAAGAAAAATTTATCTTCTCAAGGCAAGTACTGACAGAGGCTACCAGGCATGACCGCTGTTGGTCTAAGGTGCCTCACGCAAACGCAATGAACTTATGTGCATCGAATTTGGCATCGGCATTTACTGGAATTTCGGAACCCGAGGACTTGACGACAGCGCTGTTCGCCACACTTTACTGCAATTTCATGCAGCTTACCAGCGACCGATTAGTCACCTGTAAGCCCGATAAGAGGCGGGCAGGGACAACATGATATACGCCATCACCAAAATGTTTTTTATCTAAATTTGTGCTGCAATTTCACAACAAGATTGCACATTATTTAAAGCGAAGCAGTGCTGCCCTCTCTGATTTCTGACGACTCTCTGTACAGAGGTGAGCACGCATTCTCTATGGAAATGACATACTCATTTTACATTCGACAGCCAAATTGTGCGAAGAACCTTTGCACAAGAGGCGCAACAGAGGCAGCAAACACCTGCGTTTTCGTTGCTCGGCAATAACGTTCAGAGTAGCGGCAAACGAAACCTTTCTTGAACACTTCATCTTCTTTCATTGACGCTCACAGCAGAAGCCAGTAGACATCATCATAGCTAGAATTTGAGCTTGAAGCAACCTGCACTGCCGGGAACTCTCACGTTTTGTGCCACTGTGTGCCGAGAGGAGGGAGAAAGAGAGCTAGTAGGGTAGTTGCAGCGCTGTACCGAATCTCCACAAACCCACCAGGCGTGATGTTACTTGCCTTAACACTGAAGCCTCTTTGAGCGCGTTGAGCGGAGGCTCCAAATACATGCTAAGTTCTGCTGTACATGCAAAGTTCTGCTACTACAGCTGAGCTTGTTAGCCCCCGTACAGACATTTGGCGATTTGATGAGCACCACTATTCAATAACCAAACACAAGTATGTGGCTTGACAAAGCCGTCAGGATACTCGGGGCGTCGAGTCCTACACGCCGTGCTGTACCTACTTTTACTGTGTGTGTTCATCTACACTGAAACAGTTGCTGTTTGAGCTTTAGGGTATAATGTTTTGATCTCTAGATCGCGGTACTGTCACAGCGGAAAAAATCGTGTTTTTCGGAATCCTCAGGTCTGGTAGAATATTGTACAACACTGCATCAGTCCGACCCTTTAGCACAAAGCTCGCTCTGTACTAACGGGTCGGGTTGATGCCTCTAGAGCTCACTCTGGAGGCGGTCTTTAAAACTACAGATTCGGGTTGTTCGATGCCTTGTTCTGCGTTCGGTACACTAGACAAAATCTTACAATGCGCATGATGTGGCTGAAGCGCAGTAGGTGTTTACAAATACGAATAAATTGTAGACTTCTTACTGCAGATGAGCGCATTCTTGCCTTACATCTAACAACTCTTGACACTATCAAGGATTTTGCTTATGCTCGTCGAATGTCATGCACGGGCGCCTAGAAAAAAAGCGCACGGAAAAGGAGGAGTTTCCGCAGAACGCTACTGCCAAGTTTTTCACATTCTCATTATAGGTCAAATGGCGAAGCCATTTATTCTACCCGTTTTATGGTGAATTCATGCAAGTTAAGACGGGCGCGAAAGCTTCTGTTTGGAAATGTCCCGTAAATGCTCTCGTATTAGTCTGCAGAGGTCCTCAATCGGGAATGAATCCGTCTCACTGCTCTGCTGGATCCGACAGTATTTTCATATTTACCTGCCAGATCTAAACCCACAATGCATTGCATTATAAGGCGTTGTCGCTGTGGTTCGTGGATGTTCTTTGTGCATCTGCTTGCATTAAGGATGAGTCATGGTTTTTCGTGCCCTCCACTGGCCTTTTTTCCACGGCTATGGGTACAGTGACTTCCACAGTAGTGCCGTCAGGGTGTCTGAAACATATGTCCATATACATATTACTAAAACACAGATAAAGTAGGAGAATGAACAAAAATGCTCATATCAGGAACTGCCCATGCAGTGGCTGCGTTCCTGCTTTGGAGTCTACGGTGTATAATGCCAACTCAATTGCCTGCAAAACGGGAACAAGACTTTGAAAAATCTGTAAACTAGAAGAATGAGCAAAAATGCTCACATCAGGAACTGCCTGTACAGTGTCTGTGTCCCTGCTTTGGAGTCTACGGTGTATATTGCCAACTCAATTGCCTGGGCCTGCACTTGACACATATTTCCTTCCCCTGTTTGGATCGTTTTCGCATTATGCTCTCTGGAAAATTTTTGGGGGTCCGTTACTGAAGATTGCACGAGCAAAAAATGTGATAGAAATTAAATATGTGGTGCATGATTGCCTGTAGGGCATATCTACGGTGGGAAGCGATTCCTTTGTGCTTCCGAAGGCATGTTGCTCCAACTCACTTGGGTGTTCAGTTGTGCATATTTTCCTTACTTGGCCTTCAGGGCCCCTGTATTGCCTTGCGCTCTCTAAGCAACCAAGTAAGTAACTCTCCGAAACTTGAACATCCAGGGGCAAGCAAAATAATGACTCGTCTCCTGTGAGCCTCCTATGCGTGTCCTTTACTTGACCCTGGCGATGAACCCAAATTGCGTAGCTGCAGTAGGCCTTCGCACAATAGCAACTGCAGTACAGTTTGTTTAGCGCTCAGGCCCATTTACGTCAGGCCCATTTGGTTCAGTGGCTGCCTACCTAAAGCTTAGGAATGAGGCATGACGTACTATTGTGCCAAGTCCTATAAAGGCTAGGTCAATTAGAAGAGAAATTATGACTCCTAGCGTTGCGTTGTGGACATCCCTAATATAGTAGTTAGAGAGCATAAGAGAAATGCCCAAGGATTCTCCTTTTAGACCCTCAATCAAAGCCATAAGGGCGGGGCTCAGGGCAGTTGCTGCTCCTAGAGCACTAAGAAACTGGTAAACTGTAGCGCACATGACAGTACACCTACATATACCGTAGCCTGCAGTGGGACGATAACGACGTAGCGCAACAACTATGGCTAGTATCTCGAAAAGTCCTGACTTAAAAAAAAGAGGCCACCTTCATACCTGGATTTGGTTGTCTTCCCACTGTCCCATTGGCAATGTAAACGACAACTGAGGCAATGACGAAGGCAGCGAGGGACGCGGCAGGCCCCGCCACAGATATGCAAATTATTTGTCCAAGAGATAACAATTCCTGAGAGCAGACAGAAGAGAAGATTTAATTGGCTACTAGACCTTCCCCGGTCCGCTGCTTCTGTTTGTCTCAAAAGGAAAGTGTGGACCTACCTGCACGAAGTCAAGGCGAACATAGAAGGCGCTAAACTCGATGTTGTACACTGGGACTTTTGCGATACGCAGGTACAACCACACCCCTAGACTGAAAAGGAGGCTGCAACACCATAATGCGAGGACGGCGCATATCAAGGCGCTGATCATCGTGCCTGGAATATAAAATTCGCAGGAATAGCAGGGCATGGGACGCTCTTTCTGCATTCCGGTGAGAGCTATGAACTGCTTTGCCTGTTTCATGGTAATAGTACGAGAGAGCAGTTGGGACTCATTATTAATAGCGAATTTAATGGCTTTTAAAATATGTATGCTGCCTAAGCAGGGACAGTGTCGTGTTTTGTGCGGCCAACTTTCAAATTCTGACTGAGCTTCAAAGCATTGTAATACAAACGCTGTTGCGGCTGCTGGCGCCATGCATGCCTTCGACATACCAACTTCATGTTTGTCTAAAGATGGCTGGAAATCGTCCAGCAAGGAGCTCTTCAAGTACTTAAGCTTTCGCGACGCCTCGCTGGGGTGCGATAGGGTCGTGCCGCAGTAGACTTGAAGTGCGCAACACAACACAAGAAGACGCAGTGACATTAGAACACCGTGAGAAAAAGAGCGCCAGCCAGCGGAGAGCTGATATTATGTAGCCTGAATCAAAGCACTGCCGCTAGCACGCAGCAAGAAAGTCGCCTAGGGCGTGCTGAAGAAGACAATTTACCTGAGTAGCTGTATTCTTGAAGTGCGTGAACATCAGGAATGGAATATAAGGCTGAGGGCGAATCTCTGTGCCGCCAAGCGCGCACTCCGTCCTTCGTCACAATTGCAGCAGGACCTGCGGGAGCCAATCGACAAAAAACAGGCAAATGCTGGGGACACGAGGTGAAGTAGATTCCTATGGATTGCTGAGATTAGCAATGCAGCTCGTGAACGAAGCTGACAAGCCTCCTCATTACTTTCAGCCAACTCTTCGCATGCTTGAAGTGCGCTGACAAGCTGCTGAACCAGGTCCTCGGCTGAAGACATGAAAAAGACAGGCTCCACATAGACTTTATGAGTGTAACAAAGACTCAGGAAGATCGTCTATCCCTTTGGCAACCTTCTTCTTTGTGAGCCAGATTCATATGTACTGCACACCCTTTGCGCGCTCATCAGTTCCCCAAACGGGATGATGTTGCTGGGATTTAGAACTTAGGGTCTCCTTTCTTTTTCCTCCGAGCAACGCTGCCGCATGCTCAAGCTGCAACTCAAATTCAACTTGCCCTCTGGTGTATTGTGGAAGCAGCTGACAGCGGAAATATAGGTTACATAGCCAGGAATCGAGGTTCGTTCTGATGAGCTGATCCATATCAAAATAACGGCGAACTGATGGGTCCACTGGCCCACGCAGTAAAGGGACCTGAATGACCAAGACAAAACGCGCCTCCTGACAGACTCCCGCGAATTCCAATAAATTTGTATCTTGATGGCCACAGTAGCTTTAAGCAGAAAATTCATGCATGCGCCAAACGTGAAATTCACATGGTTGCGAAAGTACCTTGTAGCTTCCTTCGATAATCCGGAAATCAGAATCTATCAGCGGAAATGCTCCCCAGCCCATAACCTGAAGAGGCCGCAGAAATCATATGAAGCCTTACAATCAAGAGATGCGGAAAACTTCAAAATCGTTTTTCGCAACGAGCAGCCGCTGAGATAACGGTACGGGCTCTGGAGGTATTTGGACATTTCCGATTTGCCTTGTCAACTGGAGATCTTTGGCCCCGAAGCAGGAACAGCTCGAACACAAGACACATTCCAGGTTCTACATCAATCTTTGACGGGCAGGCCAACTGAATAGTCTCGTCGAATCTGAATTAATGCTCATACGTACTTATCACAAGCCCTAGCAACTGCTTCTGAAATCGCGCTTCCTTTAAAAATGCCCCAAAAAGATTTTAAAACAGCAGTTTAACGAACAGCCAACGTCAATCGGCTTCAGCAAAGTGATGCAGAATGGGGAACGACAGAGACCTTGCCTGAGGCATTCATCATTAAAATTTGCTGCAAATTCCACAGGTTTGGTGACAGCTGCTGCTCCTGGAATGTCGTCATTTGCGGTTTCTAAGAAGTCTTTGTCTCCGTTTGCAGAGGTTGTAAAAGCGAGGCTACTTCTCCTTCGTGCATCCGTTGTTTCCTGTAGCTTCTGCTCTATAGTATGCAGTCCGCTCCAACGGAGACGAGTGCCACCTAGTAAGAGGAACAACACCCGTAAATCCCACGAATTCAGAGCTCAAAACCTAGAAAAGTCCCCTTCGTGATATTCGACTACCTGGTGAAAATGAAATGTCAACGTGTAAGTGGTAAGTGGCTTCTCGAGCGAATTCACAGGATTGTGGTGTTGTTCCCACGCGAATGGAAAAACTTCCCTATATTAAGTAACAGGCTACTAGGCGCATAGTTTCTCTGTCGGACGCCTTGGTGGCACCCACCAATGCGCTCCCATATAGACACCGATATTACGTATCTCCCAGGCGGGACTTTGTCCTTGAGAGCGCGGCATAGGTCAATACGCATATTTAAAGGCTGAGGAGCCCGCAGCCACTCGACACGGTATGACTTCCCTGAGAACATGGACTGGCTGGAAGGGCACAAAGTGGAAGGTCTAAAAATTGTAGAATGGACTTTTAATGAAGCAAACACCGAGGGGTTTCGTTTGAGCGAACGAGAAGTAGGCCATATATCGCGCTATATTCTTATTTGATGAGCATTCAAAGGAACAAATGGCCTGTAGAAAAACCACGTAGGCAAGAGTTATTCTCATATTCGCTGCACACTGTGTACGTTTCAAAAAAGAAGTTGGAGCACATAACGGACGCTTACCTAGAGGAACAAAGTCTGTCCTCTCTTTTGCCTTAGCGTCGTCCTGCTCAACAGCTACTGCGGTGTACTCCCCTTCTTTTTTCAGAAGGCCATAAACAGCAGAGAGACGACCTTTCCGCCGTCCCATCAAAGCCTCCATTTTGCATTCACACTCACGCACCAGCTTCACGAGGTGGTCCTTCAAACAATTGCATGAAAACAAAATATCGCCTCATTTCAAGTTTGCGACAGGATAGAAAATTTACCACAAATGCATCTTGCGCCGAAATCTGATAGGTGCGAAAGGAAGGATTTCAGCTGCAGTGGTACACAAAAAAGCTGGCAGAATGAAGCGTGGCAAGAGGCCAGCGCAACAATGGTACAATACGCACCTGAGGGCAGCCATATTTTTTCGCGATGCACGTAGCATGAAGGCTTCAAACGTACCTGCCTCGCAATGTCATGCTTCTCTGCTTGACGCTTGAGAACTTTCAGCTTTGCTTCTCTTTTCTCTACCTCATCTAGGGTTCTCTTGCGAACAACTTGTTCGCATATCAACAGTCGCTGCTGCTGCTCCTGTAGCTCGTGTTGTCTGGCCACGCACGCAGCGATGTTAGCCTGGGCTTCTTTCTGTTCAACTGCAATCACTTCCTCCTCGTCTGCAACCCCGACTTTTAGTGCCTTGCCTTGCGTTACACTCTGTAAACAGTATCTCACCGGTCATGCGGGCACCCACTACCTTTGCTTAAAGTGGCTTCGCACAGGAATATTTTGCGCGCTTGCAGATTGGTGCTAGAAACGTTAGGTTCTGTACGTGCTTTGAGCGCTTCATTTACTTAGAGCTTCACTCTGAATGTATCTGTCTGCTTTTTTGCAAGCATTTATCTTGAGAACATCTAGAACGGCTTGGTAGAAACCTTAAACTTGCTGTATACTGCATCCTGGAAAGCTGGTACCGCCTACCGTGAACTCGTTGAAGTAACTATCGAGAGGCTTAGTGGCGAAGGTTGACATCTCCGCTCTCAACTCTCCGATTCGCCTTGCAGAGGCTTCTGCCTTGGCTGGAAAAGAACAAGCGTGAAAGGCGAAAACTGATTGCGGACACTACTTCTGAGCCTAGCTGAGTTCATGCACTGGACAGATCACTTTTGCCCTTTCTCTTCGTCACTTTTCGGCAGAAACGTGTGTCTGTGTGATTTCTAAAGCATGTGGAGTGTAAAAGTGACTTGGCAGAATCTGCCCGTGCATGGACTATACCTAGTATTTGCTCCGTCTCGTCATCTTCTACTTCTTCAATCCACTGTCCCCCATCCATGTCCTCTGCTCCATCAGCCCTCGTGGAAGCGTGCCTCTGCATTAGAGCCCGACGCAAGGGTCCAAACGCCATTTGCTTACGAGAAATATTTGAGGCTCCAACAGAAGAGCTAGTGCTTGGCAGCATATACCCACAGGACTCAGTTCGTGCCAATAGCCAAAGAGCAACCTCTGCCAGCCCTAGTTTCGAAAGTTAGCTGAGACTATCCACCCTTGCAAGTCATATAAGAAACTCTGCGGACACTGCCCTCTACTCCCTACCTGAATGGCCACGAGATTCCCCAAAGCGACTGCTGCTGCGTTGTCGCAGAGTAACAGGGTTGGTTTTCGCGTTCCGGAGCTACCGCTGGTTTGGTGATGACTTTCTGCGTTTTCTATCGACTCTGCGTTTTCGATAGCTGCAGCTACAGCCTTCTTCTTCCCCTTTTTCTTTTTTTTGGTGTCACTTGGCAACTGGACGTCAGTTGCTGCTGCAGCACTCCCTTCACCTTCGCCTCGGGCGGTCTCCGTTTTCTTCTTCCCCGAAGCAGTGGTTGGAGAACCATCGGCATAAGGCGGCTTCTTCGTGTGGTGCTTTTTGTGCTCATTGCCTGGTGTTAAATCTGCGCCTTGAAGGGTTTCTCCATCCCCTTCTGCCTGCAGAAGCAAGCGTTCGTTCGTCTCACCACTGCTGCGCTTCAAGAGCGCAAGGACTAGAACTTTGGTTTTAGTAGGCAGTTCTGCAATAAAGACTGTGTTACACCTCCACTCCCTAAAATCAACAGGGTGGCACACCAGCAGCGGACCTAACATCGATTTGATCGGGTTGTGGTACCTTACGTCGTCTCTCCTCAAAACTTCCTTTACCTCTGGCTGTGCTGACATTGTAACAGATAACCTAATGCTAGCCCAAGAGCTTTCTTATTAACTGGAGACTGCGTTGCATTCGCATAAGCCCTCCACCCTTTCGCATACACCACGCAGAATACTGCAATTCAATTTCTTTTTACACTCCTGCAACCGTATTCAATCTTCTACACGAGAGGTAGTCCACTAAAAGCAATGGATACTCTGAATTCTTGCTGCTTCCTATATTTCAGCCCCTGCAATATCCGGAGTCTTGATGCATCGCGGGTGGTGCATGGTTGGTTGGTGCAGGCCGAACTTTCGACACCCCCCAAGCGCCTATAGCTAAATACGAGCAAGTTAAGTCTGCTACACGCTATACATGAGGAATCAACAATTCAAACCACTGGTCTTGCTTTTACATGCAAATGCTTGCTCACACGGTGCCCCAACACCAGCCCCCTTATGAATGAGCACATGCACAAAATTTGCTGAGGCAATATACATGTTTGTTTGCTTTCCAACTTCGTTTAAAGTCAATTTTAGCGGCACAGTTCGGAGTCATGTTTGCCGCTTTTGGCTGTAACCATTTCCGTCGCAGCAAAACGTAGGTGGAGGCTGGATCACGGGGTGTTTGGAAGCCCCTTCTGTGCTAGGTTGGGGAAAAGAAAACTGTCGAGATCATCCCTGCTCGCCCTTCATATTCTGTACTTACTGATCAGATTCAGACAGTTAGCTGATTAGTTGTAACGACTTCAATCCCAGCAGACGCAACGGCGATTTACTGGGAAGCCCCCGTCTGGCAGTCTTTCCATTGAATCTACGTCCTGCTTCGTACAACACACTCACGTGAGCTGAATTACGGGCAAAAAAACCCCGCCCACCAGTAACTCATGAGCTCTGCGGAGCGCAGAGGAGCCTGGGTAGCTTTCTACAGTACACCTCACGTTCATGAAGTCGGCTTGAGTTTTCGTGCGTAGAGAGGCCAGCAGCGGCACAGAAGCACCTGACGCACCGTATACTGCTGAATGTATCAAGCTACGCGTAGGCCATCCTGAGGCCTGAAGTCCAGTATGCTACAATCCGCCCCCTTCCGTGGAGCTCTTGACGTTGGATGCTGTTTGTCTCGCTTTTGTTGCAGCCAAACACACCAAGGAGTAACGAGGAGGACGCAGGATGCCTTGTGCAGAATGTTGGGATCCAGCTCGCGCTTTTTTTTTAGCGGCCCACCACCAGCAACGTCAGGAGCTGCTGGTGCTCTTACAGAACCAGGTGCTGCGTGCACCACAGCACCGACCTGAACTGGAGTCCAGTCCTCATGAGGAAAGCGAAGCGCAGAAGCAATCGCAGCAAAAAAGGCAAACTCTCGTTGAAAGGCGAGAGGGAACCTACTGCGCACGATGCTGCGACAACAATTACCAGGGAGTGCAGTGCGAGTTTGACAGGAATAATCGCTGCACACCATATCCCGTTGTCTACAGCTGCAGCCTTACGTGCGGCTGCGGCATCAGCCACATAACCAGTTCCACTGGTGAAGGCGAACACAGCAGAACTGACAGCCGCGGGCTGCCTGAAGTTATATGCACTGCACGAGACTCAGCGCCAATGGCAGTGGTGGTACCAACAGAAGAGACTCAGGGAGCATCAGTAGGCAATTCAATCATACGGTTGCACAGGAAAACACTCCGGTTGCTGCGGGGATTCAGCCCTTTAGCCAAAAGCATCCGTTTCACTTTACCCGTGCTGGATCTACCACATGCCTGCCTTGGGTTGCCAGACGTTTTGGATGCTGGTCTTCTAAGTGCTGTGGTTGCTGCTGTACAGCGTGAAGCTGCTGCGATCAGTCCACGCTCACCGAAACACTCACATCTGCAGCAACGGGAAGTAGAAGGACAGCACAACCAGCGGCAGGCGGAGAGGCATCAGCACGACCCGGTGGGACAAGGGACATATATGACCGCTACGTGTGCGACCGCTCGTGTTGTAGCTGAACCGGAGCCTGCGGAAGATGGACACGTGCTGCTGCCTGAGAGGTTTCAGGATCTACTGGTACAGGAGTCAATTAGGAGAGATCAGCAGGAACATTCGCAAGTGCCACGACAGCAAACACGTTTTAGGCGGCTACGGGGAGGGCTGCAAGAAGAATTGCAGCAACTAGACTTCACGCGTAATCACCCATCTGGCGAATTTTTGCTAGACGACAATGGCACGAGCAGCAGCAGTGACGATTTGGCATGCGATTCTGAAGGACAGCCACACTGCTATGGCTGCAGCAGAAGTGATTCCTCAAGCAGCAGCAAACGGAGACCTGGTAGCAGCGGATGCTGGCAGCAAATGGCAGTGCAGTTGCACTCCCTCATCTTTGGACAGGATCTGGCTCTGCAGGAAGAGCTACTTTGCACCGCACCGGCAGCGGTAGCACCTTATGACAAAACAAGATCGGAAGGACCGCACGCAATGGATGAAGCAAATGCGATAGGGGCACGAGGTGCAGGATTTCAGTGTACTTCCACAGCAGCCTATCCAGTGGCCCACAGCGCTAGTATCATGCATGGTACCGCTGCTGCTCCCACCGTTTTTTGTGGTGTTGCCTCCTTCAGATCGCCGCAGCACATTGCTCAGTCGCATTCTCATCAGTCGCTGACAGCTGAAGTAGCACAGCAGCTCCTGAGCCGCGTAGCTTTGGTTGCTCTCGAGGCACACAGGCACCCGATGGAGCATGCGCAGTATCGACATGCGAATCATTACAAAGTACAGCTGGAACAGACAAAGCTTCAGGAACAGAACGAGCAGCAGGGATGGGGTAAAGGCAGCGGCTCAAGGGGCGGCTGCTCTTGCACTGTCAGTAGCAGCCGAAGCTTCTGTATGTTTCTTCTCCGTCTCTTACAGGACTATCGAGCACAGCAGCAAGGGCATGAGCGGCTACAGTTACTTTTGCTCCAACTGGTGCTGTTGCTGGTTCAGCAGCAATTGGCGTGCCACCTTTGCCGTAGCGATGAGAGATTTTTCGAGCATCCCGCGCTCTTTGTGGTACAGCAGCTACAGCAGCTTTTGCAGCGAAGTTCGTGGTCAAACGACCATAAGGGGCAAATGCTGCCTCGTTTGTTTCTGGTTATGAATTCACTACACCAACAAAAACGGTTGCTGCTGCTTCTGCAGCTTGCTCTGCTACTGCGGACGTGGCAAGTTGACTGCCGCAGTAGACATGGCAGTGGAGTTGTTCGTGTGGCATATCTGTGCATTCTCTGCGGCGGCTTGTGCTACGAGCTGAGGGAAGCAGCGGCAGATATCCTTGCTGCTGGGGCGTTAGATGAGCTTTCAGCAACATTTCAACGAACAGAGATAGAAGAGACCCGCGCATCTATTACGCTCATGGATGTTACGACATTAGACGCTGCGAAGAAAACAGTAACTGGAGCAAGCGCAGTGGTGCTTTGTGCGTCAATCGCGAAGGCCGCAACAAAAGGAAACAGGGCGGCGGCGGCCGCAGCAACAGAATTAGTTGCTTCAGTTGCTTGCTGTTTCTTGCTGCAGCAGCGCTACGCTAAAAGTCGTTTGGCTGGGCCAACAGGACCGTGCGAATCAGATTTTATTGTCCGCCGGAACATTAGGGAGTTCGCTGCTGAAGTTGCAGCACCAGCACTTCCGTTGCTACTTCTTCTCTTGTTGCCAGCTTTACATCAACCATTAGTGGAGAGCACAACCATGCATGATGCAGCAGCAACGCCTTTTTCCGTGTCATTGCAAGCAGCGGAAAGCCTCCACTTAGTACGCTTAGCCCTAACCCAGGCTCAGCAAACTGAGTTCAACTCCCAGGCTTCCCAGCAGCGCCACAGGCAGGTGGTGGTGAAGCACCAGCAATCGCAGCCTATAAGCCAGCACCGCCAGCAGGGCAGCAGTAAAGATCTCCGGCAGGAACGGCGGCAGTTCATGAGGATGCTAGAGCAACAACTGATGGGGCTTCTTAGTACTGCGCTTCGGCGTTGCGAAGAGCGGCTCGATGTACTGTTGCCTTTGCTGCGTTGGGATTGCTTGCGCAGCAACAGTATACTCAGCAGTAAAAGATGGACGCTTATAGAAGCAGCAGCAGCAGCAGTAGAAGCGCCGCTAGGTTATGTCTGTGTGCTGGTTCGCCTGTCAAGGCTTGCAACTACCACACCAGCGGAAAGTAGTGGCCCGAAAGAAGCGCCACTGGAAGAGGTTGTTGCCTCTTTGGTGAGCATGCTGCTCAGTTTCATACATGCATGCGGGGCTGGACTAATTGAAGGTGCAAAAGGGGCGTCTTTTGTAGAGCCACCGGCAGCGACTACACTTGACGCGTCTTTAAGGAGCGCAGCGTTTGGGTGCTTCAGTAAGCTTCTCATTGCTCTAACTGAGGCGGCTCGAAGTACATGCAAGCAGATAAGACAGGCAGAAGAAGCTGTAACCACAACGATTATTTCAGAAGGCGCAGCTAGCGCCGCCTCTGCGCTGCAAGGCTGTCTGGCAAGAGGTGCCGTGGCACTCTCTCGCTTTTGCCTGGAACTGGCCGCAGCTGGGCGGCCGCTGCCTCAGCACGAGCAAGTGTCGGATTTTCTAGATGCAGCTGCGGATGCAGAAAGCACGCTCTTGCACTTTTCGTCAATGCATGGAGAGGTGGAACAACAGCATCGGCATCTGCCGCCATTGGCTTGCGAGCTGCTCAAGCTAGCCATAGAGTCCCCCATCGTCAGCAGCAAGTACAGCAGTGCCAACTACAGTGGCATCCGTGTCGGCAAGGGCGGCGACAGCAGCATATGCTACTGTGCTGCTAGCTGTCGATATGGAGTGTTTACTGCCTGTGAGGCGTCTTGCGCACAGGCAGGTGAAATTGCCAAGCCTAGTACAATTCGTGACGCCAAGGGAGTGGCCCCAGTTGCTGGTGACGGAGCGAAAACAGCAGCCGATGGTAGAGTTCTGGCTCCTGTTCCTTTGTCCTACGTTGCTGTAGAGTCGATTGTTGCTGTCGCCCTACATGCGTTTGCGCGCTGTCTTGGCCATCAGAGAGTGAGTGCTGGCGCCGCCACAGCAGAACCAAGTTCAGCAATATACGGTAATTATTCGAAGCGTGTGCCGGAAGAAAGAACCATCGGTACTGGTGCTGCAGATTTTGCAGTGCGAATTCTATGCACTGCTTGGGCGCAACTCATTGAACCGGTGCTACGGCAGGTTTGCTGTCCGGCCCTCAGCTCTGCGGTAGGCGCAGCGACAACAGCGGCGGTGGCAGGGCGGCCAGCTGCGGCTGCGGCAGCAAAGACAGAAACAGCCAGAGGTGCGGCAATGGCAGCTCTGTCCGTAACAACAGAGCAACAACATGCGCTCGCCATAATCGAAAGCCGCGGAAGCCTTGTGACGGCCTTCTCAGCAGCAATAGCGGCAGTTACCGCTGCATCTGCACAAACACCAAGGCTTCGAGGCTCATACAGCGAATTGCAGCAACTGCAGCAAGACTTTTTACTGCTTTTGCAAGACGCAACAGTCGCTGCAGCACACATTGTCCTCTGCCAAGAACAAGCCAGCAGCAGAGAATGCTGCACAGGCAGCTTGTACGAATTCCATGGTGGCAGCTACTGGAATGCAGCTCATCGTCAGGACCCTGTTGCCGTGCTAGAGCAGCTTGTACAGGCCCTACTCTCCCATTATGACAACCGCGCGATTCCTGTGCATCTCCTACCCACCAAATGCGTCAGCTGCGGAATTAGTAGCTCCTGCTGCAACTCAAACGACGAGACCAGTTGCCTGTGGCCGCTTATGCTCCAGGTGGCTGCTGCTGTGCCCTCGCTTCGGTCACGGGCACTGCGGTTGTTTGTGCGACTCCTCCGTCGCCTACTTGCACAGCAGCGCCAGGCTGAAGAACAGCAGCAACAGCAGCAGCTTGTCGAAATTTGGTGCCTTCTGTACAGTTTCTTCTGTACAGGCGAAGCAGCTGCAACAGTAGCATCAGTAGAGAGAAACTGCGGCAGCAGAAGTTGTTGCTGTTACAGAATGAGACTAAGCGACCTCCTCAACCAAGATGATTGGGTCCAGTGCAGCGCGTTATTGCTGGAGTTGTTGGAGTTGCTACAGCAGACAGCCCGGGAGGTTCCTTGCACTATTGCTGCTGGTGCTTCTGCGCATTCCCATCTGGCAAAAACAGCAGCCAGAGTAAACCAATTAGCAGAAGCGGAAATTGCCTCGCGACGCCCTCCTGAAGCTGAGTAAGCATCACAGGGAAAATAAAAGCAGGCGTTTCACTGGCTAGCAGTTGCGTTAAGGAAAAAGAACTGAGTAGCTTGGGACGTATCCGAGACTAATGTGTTAAAACGAGCAGGTGGAGTTGATGATGAATTTCAGTCGACACTTGCCCACTATTCACGTGTCTGTTATTTTCAGGGGAGGCTGCAAACCCATATTCTTTGCCTCAAAGAGCCACGGCGTCTGCAGGAGCACAGAACACCCCGACTGCATTGATGAGTAAAAGAGAAGCTGCTGGCTTCGATACTGGTACAAAGCTTTTTTGAGAACAGCATAATGAACAACAGCAAATGCACCCTCAACGTGAGCGCTCAACTTCATTTTTTTGTGTCGAATCTATATTGTGGAGAGTTGTATTCGTGTAATGAAGACACTTGTAAACAACACATGGCAAGAAAGCGGCGTGTTTAGAGCAGCGGCACCAGCCTGAGTTTGACGAGAAGCCCGGCTTGCAGCTTGCCTACGTACATAGGGTCTGAGAAGCCTGGTGGATGAGTCAAGATCCATAGCAGGGAGGTTAACGTGAGCGGCAAGTTTAGCAGTACGCTGTAATTCGATAGATGAGTGACATTTTATACTTACGGCTTTTGCTGCAGCTCTCACGATTGCTGTTAAGCAAAAACAATAGTGCAGCACCTGCACACTATTGGAACGTAGCAGGCACGCGTTGGGACAACGCGAATCTCATTACATGAGGACAAACGCAATTTTTCTTTCTTGAGTGCAGATTTCTTCCCCGCTTCAATATATCGAAAATACGCAGGCGTGGGAGCGCAGATGCCCGAATGGCCGCTCTCCAAGGGAGAGCCCTGTTCGACGCACGGAGCCCTGGAAGATGAGTAATTGCAGGGGCGAACTCAGTGGAAATCTCTACGTTTTTTATTCGCAGGTCTTTATTTATTCCATTGAATTCTAGCAGACTTAAAAAAACAGGGGCGTTAACGGAAAGCCGTCGATTCTGCACGGGGTCACGCCCCCGCTGGTGTGCTGTCTTGCGGAACTTTCTGGCTTCACTTGCCATTAAAATCGTTGATAACTAGATAATAAATAAATATAAATGCTACAATGATAATCAACGGGCAGCAAAGCCCTCACAAAACTCGTGGTGTGGGAGGGCACTGGGGGGTGAGACAGGCGAAATTGTTGACAGAGACTGCGAAAGACGTTTCGCGAACGTTTAAGTGTTCCAGTAGTTGCCTGTGTTCTTCGTTGTAATAGGCCAATATGATATTTATCTGCTTGAGGGTATAGTACTAAATTCTAGTTCTTCAAGTTTGCTCTGGTCTGTCATAGCCCGTCCAACAGCGCTCGAGGTGATTCCACCCCCAACCCTAGGGTCGGGGGCCGTGCGGCCCACTAGCTTTGCATTTTTGCAATTTAATCCGCTTATTTTATGTTTCGTTGCTGAAAATGTGTATTTGAAAATTTCAAGGGCACTAGTTGGCACCCGAAAACCTGGCAATGGCCAGCATGAAACTGCGGTTTCAACCGCTTCCTCCATGCACGGGCCAGACGGGCGCCTGTCTCGCACTCGGGCGATTTATCTTTGGGACCCAGCGGTCCCCACCGGTTTTAAATTTGTTCAGTACAAGTATAAATATTTATTTCAACACGAGAGAAGGCTACGGTGAGAGAGCAGCGTCATTCTAGGGCTGCTCGCCCACCCACCCGATCCCTAGACCCCCATACCATCCCCTTTCCTCCAAGAATTTCTTTTGCCTCTGGGGGTCTCACGTCCGCTCGATCTCCCTCAAATTTTAAGGAGAGTCTTTCGTAGGGTCCGCTGTTGTTAGTCTCATGCCGCAGGAACTCCGTGATCATTGGTCCTTACGGAACACAGCGGCGTAGCCGTTGCGGCATCAGCATCATATTAAGGCGAAATCTACTGAGGCAAAGGCTTTATCAGAATCTAACCGCTTTCAATAGAACAAATTGGGGGCAAATACTTTCTGTTTTTTCGTGGCAGGGCCTGTAGAGCAGGAGATCGAGGTCAAAAAGTTTCGTAGCCCTGCCCATGAATCACAAGCATAGGGGCCTTGCACTGGTCTCCATGGAAGCTGGTGGACCCATGGCGGGAAGAAAACTGGGAGTCCTTCAGGAACGCGAAGGTGGTGGAGCCACTTCGAGAGAGCTTCTTATGCTGCCCAATATAGGCGCGGCCTGCTGCAGCAGCAGCAGCTGTAGCAGCAGTAGCAGCCCAGCAGCAACCGATGAGCCTGCTGAGGACTGGACCTCCACGGATATTCTCTTAGAAAACCCCATAGCTAGTGAGTATCGTACATGCTATTGCTGCCTAGGCACTGGCTGCAGCCGCTGTCAAACAAACAACAACGGGACCATTAACAGTTCTAAGAACACTAGTCGTGGTATCCGTGGAAGCTTCAAGTGGTGGGATGATAAAAGCGGCGCCGGCAACAGCAGCTGTTCAAATCTTGGGAAGTGCACAGATGAAATCGATTGCACTACAATCTGCACGGTATCTAGCCCGATAGATGTACAACGATCGTCCATTATCGAGCATTCCAGCCGCACGGTTAAGTTCAGCAGCAGCCCAGGCGACAGCAGCAATAACACCCACGGCAGCAACACGAGTGAAGGCCTTGACTCCAGGGAGTACAAATGGCGCGGCTGTTTAAAGCTTCTGCTTAAACGGGTAGTTGAGCGTGACGGTACAGGCAATAGCCGTAGCAGCAGCAGCAAAAGTGAAAGCAACTACAACGGGCTCCAAGAACCTGGGATTGCTTCCTCTGCCACGAAGGAGCAGCAAGGCGCAGCACTCAATGACTTGGTAACCGAGACTCCTAAGCTTGCCTCTGGAGCCCAAGATGCCAGCTGTAGAGCAGTCTCTCTAAGCAAGTCACCTCTAAGAGGCATTGGACGATGCCTCCAAGAGCATCCACGAAAGGAGGGCCCACACGAATCAGACGTTGATAAACACGGCGCCGCAGTAGGGGCAGCTGTGGCAGGTGCTTCTGAAACTGGTGCAGCCCCGGCCATAGAACACCACCAGCACCAGCAGAAGGCCTTGCTCAGAACCACAGAAGGACATAGCAGCGTTGTCAAACTAATGCCAAGCAGCGACAAATGCCGAAGCGACTCCACGCGTTATGACCTGAAGCAACATTTCACGCCTTCTCCAGTCGGGCACGGCAGTAGCAATATTCCAGCAGCTTTGACATCGGTGTCAGCGGCTGATCCACAACCGATAACAGGAACACCAAGGCCAGCAGTAGCAACGCCAACCGCAACAGATTCAACACAATCATCAGAAGCGGAGACATCAAGAGCTGCACTGCTGGTCTCAACAGAAAGGCCCAGAGCAGCGGCAACACCAGTAGTAGTAGTGGCGCCAGCACGACGTGCAGCAGCAGCAACGCCGACGGCGGCGGAGTCAGCTGCGTCTGCCACTGTGTCACCGTCTTTACCATCGCGTGCATGTTTCTCAACAGCTGCTTGTCAGCATGGACTCCCCTCGTTTGAGCCCCGGTTGTGTTACTGTCTGGAACACCTCTTGGCGGGTCTTTGCTGGGGCCACCACTGCATTTGTGGATCACTACAGGACTGTGTGTTGTGGGGAAGTGGAGTTTGCCGCAGAGTGGATAGTCACCTCGTGAATCCCCAGCAAGAACTCGAGCTTTTGCTGCAGCATGCAGCCTTAGCATCCCCGGCTGCGGCAGAGGGATCCCCTCAATTAGCAGCAACGAAGAAGGTTTCAGATGTAAGTGGAAGGCAGAGGGCATTTGTTCCGCAGCAAGTAATAAACAAACATTTTCAGTAGAAGCATCTTAGAAGAAACTAGTTGCTTGCTGCCTTTTTCTGTGACATAGCTGCAGCAGTGTCTCTGTCTGTGTGTCCGGTGGACAAGAGGGGGGAAGGGCTTTTTGGTTCTATTAATTTCCTGAGCTTTGTGGATGGCGTGCCGCCGCTAGTTTTTCCTGCTCTTCACTTGCTTACCGGCACGCAGTCTTACACTAGCCTTTGTTGCTGTTTCTTTGCCTTCAGTTGTCTTATTGGGGTCCACATTCACCCGTGCAAGGGCGTCCCTGGATTCCAAGTAGTGTATCTCCCCTGTTGCTTAGCAGCAGCCGGTCAGCGGAAGGACGCACCCAAGCAAGCGCATCAGGGAGTTTCTCAGGAGCTGAAGAGACCGACGGGCAGTTCCCACGGAAGGGTCGCCACCTGCCGTCGTTTTCGGAACCACACATATCTATAAGTGACTGGGGGGATCCTGCGCATCAGTGGGTTGCTCCCCTAAGAACAGATTTTGAAGCAATGGATAGTAGCAGTACCACCAGCAGTATCAGCTGCAGAACAAACAAAGCAAGCCCTGGAGATTGGGTTCCTTTCAAGAAGAATGGAATAAGTGGAACAAACTGTGTTGGAGAGGACAAAGAAGATATTCAAAAGCCAGTTGGGGTGCTTGCACCTTTACTAGGATTCGGACAGCCTCTGAGGGCAGGCTCTGCAGCAGTGAATCGATACCCCAGGACAGCCTTGTCAGCTGATTCCTTCGTGAGCTCTGGGGCTCAGTGGTTCGGGTCCTCAGAGGACGAGGCAGGGGAAAGCGGGACGGAGGGGTCAGGGAGGCCACTTATGCCGCGCTCTAGTTGCAGCCCTCGCTTCTGCAGCCGTAAAGCGCTAGAAGGGTCGAAGATCTACAATGGAGAGCTGAGGAGGAGAACAGAGGGATTAATCAGGGAGAGAGACAGAGTAGTTGATGAACACAGAACAAGCAGAGACCCCAGGCAAACCATCTTGCTTGCTTCAACCAACAGAGCCACTGGGACGAACTTCTCTGTAAGGCCCAACTCTCACCAACGTGCGCACTCCCCATCCGGGGGACCCTGCAGTGGACACGAAGACATCTGGGGAGACGTTAGAGAGTCTGACTGCACAACAAGGGCCACAGGGGCAATTGAAAGCGACTCAAATTCCGGTGGAAGCCGCTGGAAAGAAGCTGGTAGAGATGCTACCGGCAGCAACAACAACCATCAGGCAGTGCTAGAAATCGCTGCAGTGCCCGTAAGAACCCGCAAGGGATTTCGGAAGCCACTTCCCTTGCCACCCGAGATGCTAGCTGCCATTGCATCTGCCGGGCCAAGGAGGCCAGTGGATCCCGTGCTGCAATATGACGGAGAAAGCAGAGAATGGAGGTAAGAAAAAGCCCTGAAAGTCAAGTAGCAAAGAAAGGCAATTTCTTGACCATCCCTAAACCCTGCTGTGAACCTCCAACATAACCGTCTTCGAAAGTATTAAAGTCTTTGTTTAAACTTGTTTCGAACTATTCGCCACTAAATTAGTTCAGTATGGGGTACCCACGACGAACATAGTAGCACCATCTAACAAAAGAAAGCCTTGAGGATAGCAAAGCGGCTGTATGTGAGTGCACTTGCTCCTGGTGACATTTACTCTTTTGGGAATGTGCTACTGTGTATACTATGGTCTGTGCTCCGTTTAGGGTCTTTTGGATGGAGGAACCTCAAGCCAGATATAAAGTGTTTCAGTCAAAGAAGTTTGGCAAAGAAAGAGCACAGCAACTGGCCCTAGAGTGGCTTCACCGCGCAAAGGCAGGTGCCATACATGGGTCTGGGAGAGGGCCCAGGGTAGGGGGCCCTTCGGCTTATCGTTTCAAACGAGGTCGACATGAGGGGCTCCATTTGGCTACAGAATACAAGCATGGAAGTCCCGAAACCTTGCATTTGTCCACCCCTCAGTCCGGTCTCGAGCTGTCTCCTGAGGGTTCACCGGCTCTTGCCCCCTTTCCGACTGCCATCGCAGACCTGTAACGGGCCTTTGGGCCTTTCTTGCATGCAGCGCTGGCGTTTACCTCCAGTGCAAGCATGAGTTAGGGTTTGTTCGCGCCCTTAGGACGCCTATAGGCTTTGAAAAACTCAATGCCAGAAGTCCGTACTTATGGAATTATGCGGGATCACTTTTAGTACGTAACAGGTGTGACGAGAGGCACAAATCACTTTCGTGGCTAGAGAAAAACGCATCAAATCAAGCAGGAATTCCACTCCCAGGATACCAGTTAGACGAGACATCAAAAAGCATCTCTCCACTCGGATTCATTAACGGGCAACAGCAACGCTGATGCCGGTATCATCCTCGCAGTAAAAGCCCATGCAAACACGGGCATCTGCACATCACCACAATAAACAATGCACTTGTACGCTCCTGAACGTGCACTAATACATACCATAAGCCGCAAACCTGAATACGCATTCAAGGCTATTGTGAATACTGGAGAAGTTATTCAGAATGCATTGCTCCACGAACGATATTCCAAGAGTTAAGTTGCAGCACGCCGCCTTCACTTCAAAAGCTGCTCTCCGACATATTCTAGAACGCAGCACAAGCTCTAGATCAATTTCTCTACTCAGGTTTATAAATGCTCATATTTGCATACGTTTTGCACGTGTGACTTCCTGAAGACACCCCTGATCGAACTCGATGGTATCTTTGGGCCCCTGGAGGGAGCGCGGGTCCAGTTCGTGTGAACGTCTTACCTTTTGAAGTAACAGTACCTTGCCCTGAGGGGTACATTCGTAATTTGTCAAAACTAGCACAAAGGATTCACAATCAACTTTGGGGCTGCATGCAATTTGGGTCTCCACGCGAGTCGATAATACTCAACTCCACGAGCTGGAAGCAAACCACGAACTAAGAGCGGAAAAGCTTGCAGACTAGTGTTTTTGCTTTATTGTCTGAGTGCCATGCCGCAATTAGGGCGGTCGCTGTCTTCAACAGGCTACAAAATCTCCTTTTCAATACTTCGGGTTAGAGTTTTATGTTTAGCCCGGATTAGGCTTTAAAGCTTAGCTCGTGAACTTGCTTGTTTCTAGGATATAGTTGGCGCTTTATTGTTTTTTTGAGGCCACGCTTCTGACGTTGATTTTCCCGCGAGATTTGTGTCCCCGTGCCAGCTCCTCCAGTATTGGTGCTGAATTGGATTTCTTTGCAGTGTCATAGTCAAGGTGTAGAATGTCGTCTTCCGGCGCGGGTGGTGGTGCTTCCCCCGCCGCTGACCCATCTATTGCGGAGTCCATACAGAGGGCGCAGGCATTAGCTGCCTCTCTCGCCCGAACTAAAGGAGTCCTGTCAACACCGCAGGTCCCACCTGCCCCGTCGGGGCCGCCCACTTCGGGCTTCTCACATAGGCCCTCGTCGGCTTCAGCTTCGCGGGGTAGTCACTCCTCTCCCAGGGGACCGCCATCTTTTGACTATGGTGTTCCGCAAGAGTCGGGATTCTCCCAAGGGCCTTCTTCGGTTTCTAGAGGACCCCATCACCACACCCCTTCCCGCGGTTCAGTCTCGTACGATCAAGGTGTAGGAGAAAAGCAACAGCCCCATATCTTGCCGGTGCCGGGGAGGAATGATGGCACATGGACCTCAGTTGATGCTGCAGCAGCTATTGCGGCGCAGCAGAAACAGGTGTAGAAGTCCTTCAACAGCAGTAGCGTTGACAACATCAGCAGTGGAGACAGTTGCAGGCCTTGATACTATTTTTTGATGACACAAAATAGCAGCAGAATTGTGGCTTGGGGTGTATGTACAGCTTATGCAACAGCGTGCCAGAAAGGCCGCCTTGAGGGCAATGGCGACAGTGTGCGCCGCTATCCCCAAACCTGATCTCAGAGACCCTGACTTGTTAGGTGCTGATATCAAGAAGACAGCAGTACGCTACGAAGCAAATTGTAACATTCGGCCGCACTGCATAATCGAAGCAAGTGCTATAGTAGTTGAGACTGTTTTGTACTTTTGGCACCTCTGGCGGCGTGCGTGCTGTCATTGACGGTGCTGCGAAGTTTGCTGTTTTTGAGATGCAGAGACAGTTGGAGAATGGAGTGTGGATATTAGATCTCCCGCTGCAGACAGGAGTTTGTGGGGTAACTGCAGGAAGCCCAGATGCGTGGCAACAGCTACAGCATGTAGAGACCATCGCTTCCCTGAGGCGCCGTACCGGGGCTGGCTTCATCCTTCGGGGTTCCCCTTTATCGCAGCAGCAGCAGCAGCAGCAGCAGACGCCGCAAGGAGTATATGTGAGAGTTGTAGGCGAAGATCAGGAGACAGTCTACAGAGGAGCTGTTGCTGCATGTGAGCCGTACATTGGAATTCATTGCGTTTCACCCATAATGTTTAAAGCCTACGGTTTAGTTGTAAGCGTCTCAGTTTTTTTCATCTACCTCTTCCGTGCTTACAGGGAGCTTTCTGGGCCCTCCGCAGTACCTCCCGGCCCCGGCGGATGCAGCTGACGACGAAACGTTTGACTGCACAGCTGCGATGGCAGGAGAAGATGTAAGTGAAACATAGGAGGAGCTGTACGGACCTCAGGCACCCCATGAAACTGTTGTCTGAAGCACTTTGGATAGAGGCGCATGCATTTTTGTCTTCCAAGTTGTGGGGCTCTCTGCTTGTCCATCATTAGTTTTACTGTGGTCGCAAACGGTTTCTGTCCATTGCGGCCTGGCATAGAGAATGGAGAGTCTTCCTTTGGTGATCAATGTATGGTTTCATGACTTGTGAGTCGAACTGCTAACCTTCGTCCCATGTTTCCAACAGTCAACGAGGGTGCTGTAGTGCCTAAAGCTTGTAGGAACCCGTTTTGCTGCAGGATGAATTTTTGAAGGATGTCTGCCAGAGGACGGGTGCCCTTGTTGACATCGAGCCGGATCATCCGCAAGGCGGTACGCGAACTGGAGACACGCTAAGCACGCGAAGTCTTAGGCTCCGAATAGATGCCTGAAGACGGCTTTGCGTAATATTGAGGCCACTAACAAGATCTCAGGCCTATACGGCCTGATTTGGTTCCTCTGTATGCGCCGTGGAGAACCAGAAACCCTCGTGCCGGCCATGGGGCCAAATTTTGAGTGTGTATCTGAGTTGCTTGCGTATTAGGATACGGCCACATGGCGGAGAGGACGGGGCTGCGCTACTCGGCGAGGGCATGCACACAGGGCGCAACGGAAAAGGCACTAAGACTCTTGCGGTGGAGACTTGTTTGTATTGAGGAGGCCTGGAGGCAGCACAGTGCCCATGGATTTACACGAGATACCTGTAAGCGTTCGTTTGGGAAGCTCCGTGCTAAAGGGCAGTAATAGCTTCCTTTCGGTGTTTGAGCGCAATGGTTTTCAGTGCGTTTGCTCTCTGCCTCTTGAGTTTTGTTTCCTTCACATGGCAGTAAACCCATGGTGTGTGCTCTGTGTTTCCATGAGGTTTGCTATAAGGCTTTCATATGTAGCCTTAAACTACTGTGGCCGATAGTGTCATCCGCGCCTTAATATTGCACTAGATGAATCCCTGAACCGACGGACTGTCGTTGCTTATGCTTTCTCAGCTCCGACAAGCCATAGGGGAGGATGGAGAGAAGTAAGCGTGCGAACAACAAGCATTTGCCCCGGATTGGCAGTTTCGGAACCTCAGGTTGCGAGGATGTTGAGTTATGAACTTGCTACTCGACGCTTCAGTTGGGCCGCTTGTTCTTGTTGTTGCATGTGCTTTTTGTGCAGTCACCGTACGGGTCAGTCATTGTCTTACTGCAGAAAGATCAGCACCTTTTGATGGGGCCGCTGCTCTTTGAGTTTGTCGTGCTTTTCCTGGTGAACGTGTGCTAGGAGTTGGTTTCGCCTAACGTACTAGGTTGCCGGCGCGATGCAGGCATTTTCTCACATAGCTCAGTGATTTAAAGGCTCGATTATCGTTCCAAGCTTCTGCCACTTAGTTCATTGATTTAATGACCCGATCATTTTAAGACCCGGCTATCGCTCTTTTCATGCACGTCGTGCAGCGAAAGCGATATGGTGGTGTCTCTCAGTGCTTCTCCTGGCCAAGACGTCCGGAGCGCTGCTGCTGCGTCCTTCTGGCAGTCGGCGATGCCAGATGAGGCGGAGATGATGAGAAGGCGAAAAGAGGCCGAAGAAAGACGCAAAAAGAGAGGACAGAGGTCGCGGTGAGGATTAAGACTTAAGCTTAGGTTACGTTGTTCTGCCTCTCCATACCCGTTTGCGCATGTGTCTGCTTTCGCTTCCCCACAGCAGGACTGCCAGATAAATATTGCTTGCTCCGAAACGCTCTTCATTTGTGTTGCTGGCTAGCGGTTCGGAGGTTCTTGCATCTCCTTTCTACCTAATGTATTTTTGAATGACCACGGCGTATATGTCACTTCTCTTATGAACAATTATTACTAATTTGCGTGGTGTTCCTTACGCAGCTCTGCCTCTCCTGAACGGTGTGGACCTAATCGTCTCTCCTTCGCACCCCCACCAGATGAACTTCTTACTGGGCCTTACGCTCCCCTAGACAAGTAGTGGCCCCAACTCCTCATCTTAGGAATTGAGCTCGCCTTTGGGCGAGTGGCTTGCTTTGTTAGGGCAAAGGCCATTTGTTGGCGCTTACGACGGCAGTTAGTATGCTGCTGCCGAACAAACTTCCAGCGAGAGAGTGCCTTTTACTGCCGTATAACGCTGCACTGGCGTTGATGATGGACTGCCAACGAATGCGCGGGAACAGTTCAACTAGCTAGAATTGCGTTGTAGCTTCTGCTGCTATTCGTGTTTGTGGCCGCTGCTGCATGAGCGCATGCATGCCGTTGCAGAGTCTCGGAGGAGACGGGTTGTAAACTACCTAAAAAGTAGTAACTGTTCAACGCGTAGGCAGGCACTTATGCCTGGATTCCACGTTTGTCAGTTGGATCGCGCGCATTAGAGACTCACTACCAAGGAGGAAAATGTGTTATCAATAATACAGAACACTGCACCTCACGTTAGTATTCTTCAAAGGAACGTTTTCCCAAATTTTCTCCGATTGGACATAAGTTTCAGACGTTGTGCACTCGAGGCCTTGATGCCTCTGAAAAGACTTGACAAATGTATTGACGCGATTCAACAGAAGCACAGCAGTGGGACCAGAGAGCCTGAAATGTCCTGGGGAAGAAAGGCCCCGCAACCACAATGGGCGCCGTTGATACTTCACGTCGTGCAGTGACAGTTTGTACTACGTTCTTCATTTGGATGCGTAGGTGGTACCCTATTAATTTGCTTTTGGAACTCTCCGGCAGAAGTGAGCTTGATGGCAGTGGTGCTTTTACAAGGTATACATCGAAGTCACTTAGCTCCTTCTACATCGACGCCGACAGCCGCCTCTGCAGGTGCACCACGGGGTACGTTAGTACTGGTGTACTGGTATTGTTGCATTTGCTGCATGGGTGGCCCCTTTTGGACCCCCTGCTGCTGTCCCTGTTGTGGATGGGCTGCTGTAGGATTAGGGACTGCGTAGAGTGTGCAATCTTCTCTCTGGGAGCTCTCTTGGGGTTGCCGAGTTCCCCCAGGTGTGAGGGGTTGCCAATAGCTCCCCAAATAGGCCCCGGGATAAGCGGTCCCAACAGCTGTATGTGGAGGCATCATTGGCTGCATGTAACCGGAGCAGCCAACAAGACTTCCAAAGGGCCCCACTGGGGTTGCCCTGGGCAAAGTTAGCTGCGACGCTCCAACAGTTGCAGAAGCCCGGGGCAAGCAGTACAGGGCCCCAGCAGACTGTATGTTATAGACCTGGGGAGTCTCTCCGCACTGAGGAAGAGCTCCAGCTAAACCTGCGGTCAACAGCACGATCTAATGTGTTAGACGCATGTTAGTAGACTAATTCACGCATGGCACTCGGATGTTGAACCAAAAACAGACGCACACAGGTGAAACATGGATACAGGCACAGAAGATACAGACTTCCTAGCTAGCGAGCAGCACTACGCGTGTTCCTATGTTGGTACATACGCTGGCGCACCGTCTAAGCATAAGGTGAACGGAAGAAGTTAGCACCACAGTTGGTTCATGCACCCGGACTCACCCATATGCTGCAACTGCTTCATCTGTTGTTGCTGCTGCATCAAAAGCTGCTGCCGCTGCAGGTGTTGCAGAGGGGAGTCACTGGCAGACACAGTTGTTGATGCCTCAGTAGCTACGCATGGTGCTGGCCTGTCCTTTGTCTCCCTTGAAGCACCAGGACATCCCTCCTCCTGTGCTGCGGCCATTCCTGCTGCTAATATTGAGGCTGTTCCCTGCCCGTCGCTGGACAGAAGTGCCTCCTGTATCAGGGGTAGATTTAGCAAAGCTACATAGAGGGCATGCAGCTGGGGGGTTTCTTTGAAGTAATGCATCTCCACTTCCGCATTCTCTTGGTGTAGTTGCTCCTTCTGCTGGTCTCCGTTAATGGTCTCTTCAGTGCTGCCGCTGCTGATGAGGCATTCAGCAATTCGCTGATCGTCATCGATCAGGGAAAATAAGAAATAGTCAGCGAGGGAATCTTCCTCGCCAAGAAAAAAAGGCTGCAATCTGCTGACCACTGGCCCCCTGATGGAGGCGTCTAGGCTGACTATTGGGGCCCTCAAGGATGCGTCGACGCTGGACTGTGCCGTGAAAGCAAACTTGCTGTTAAAAAATGCCAGCAACTTCTCCGCTTCTAAGTAAAAATGGCGTCGGCTCTGCGACACGCACCGCATCCTGCACAAGACAGTCCCTGGCACTGGCGAAGGCCGAAAAGTGCAAATGCGCCCATAAAGTGCACCATGACTCTCCAAAGACGACCTGTGCCACCTCGTGAACGTGAAGTTAGCCTTCAGCCCCATCACAGTCTCAATGCCATCCCCACCTTTACGTAGTCGCAGATAGCATCCTTAGCCATGGAATCTGGAGAAAGGATGGACTGGATTGCGGCTTGCTGTACATTAAACCAAGTATTGAGGTCCATGAGCTGCACTCAGGACAATAACAATGCGTGTAGACCAAATTCAGCGTATATAGAATTAGAAGCATGGGGTAAAGTTCTTTATGGACTTTCTGCAGCAAAGTTTGAGATGCAGTTAACGCTTGATGTTGTTGCTGCCCCTGCTGTTGTTAAAAGCCTATTATCCTGATTCCACACCGAGAACTTTGGCAGCAGCAAATAGAAACAGTACCTGCACCTTCGCTAAAAGCAACAAAGTGCACTCACCAGCCGGTCTTGCAGTGCATCTTTCATGTGATCGATGCCATATTGGCCCAATTTTTTCGCCAGGTACCGAAGACAGACCTCAGGTCCTCCGCAAACGACACGACCCTGAGACGCAAATGTTTTTAACTTCAAACTAGAATGTCCTTACCTACCGAAAATCATGAAATGTAGATGCCCTCGTACAGCCATATCTTGGTGCTCAGACAGATGTATAGAGTTCGGTGTAGGCGCTCAAATGGGCACAAATTCTCAGGCTGATTTGTGCAGCTTGGAAATTCACTCACGTCGTGTATGAGGAGAGGCATGGTGCTGTCTGCCGGCACCTCCCTTGCCTCAATGAGGGCCATGACATCTCGCGTGCATTCATCCGCCTCATCTGTAGCCACGGAGTGCTTCACCTGCTTGCCCAGGAGGTACATGTGAACGCTTCTGAGAGCCATAAACACAAAGCAGATCAGCAGGCTTCCCGAAGCACTAATACGTACGTCTGCGCAAGCTGTGCAAGCAATAATCATAATGCAAAGAGTATCCTGGATGTAATGTAAACACAGAAGTATTTTCTGCACATGAAACATGAAGTCCACGAGCTGGAACATGTGCCATGCTTCATATACTCATAATCCTCAGACTTGCCCTCCTTCGCCCAAAAAGGGCTCGCGGTGAGGTACGTACAACCGGAGATCGCCAAGGAGCCTCATGGGCAGCAGTTGTGTTGGGCGGAGCTGAACAGAAGCCGGACCACAACGAAGGCTTCTTCCAAGGCCCAAACACACAGACTAGGCTATACATGATGCCAAAGAGTTTTCGAATTCGCTCACGAGTGTAGTATTTAACTTTACAGGGTCAGAATACGCAGGTGCTGGCAATACATTCCTCATTTGCTGTTGCATCTGCATCGCCTGCTGTTGCTGCTGCCACTGCTGTTGCAGCCATTGCTGCTGGAGCCATTGCTGCTGCTGCTGCTGCCACGGCTGCGGCAGCGATGAAGGTGCTGCCCCTGACAGCGGATACGAAGGGTACAGCGGGTTGTTCGTGCAGCTGGGTGGTCCTCGCGAGGCGTCAGTGTACCGTGATGCTGCTCCTGCTGCACTGGGACAATAATGCAGACCCACGGCATCCAGCCCCTGACCCTCTACAACCCTTTGCCTGTGTTGTTCAGCGTGTAACTGTTGCTGCTGTCCTGTGTGGGAAGGCCTCACAGGAGTCCCGCTTCCAGTCGGCTGCTGCAGTTGCGGGGGCTGCTGCTGCTGAAGCTGCTGTGACTGTTGTGGCTGCTGAAGACGCTGATTGGTATGGTATTGTTGCTGCAATGTCGGATGATGCTGCTGCTGAAGTTGGTGGGGCTGCTGCTGCTGGATATGATTTGGAATGGTCTGCACTGAAATGCGAGAAGATGTCTGCCTGATAGAGGGAGGCAGACTTGCCGCTCGGTGAGCGAAGGAAACCGCCTCTTTCTGCACAGCGGGGAGTTGATGCAGCCCCTCCTGCAGCTCCTGCTGATGTTGCTGCTGCTGGCTACGCTGTTGACACCGCTCCTGTTGGTCTTGCTGGTGATACTGTCGCTGATGCGACAGCCTGTTTTGCGGCTGCTGCTGGGAAGGCAGCAACTGGTGCTGTTGAGCTGAGCAAATATCCATTTGGTGAGGTGTCGATTTTTGAAGGGCTTGCTGTGTAAGTGCAACTCGAGCAATGCGGCACAGTGACCAATGGTGGATGCGCGGATGCCACACCACACCTCGAAGACGAAATCCTGGTCTCTACTTCATAACATATCAAATGTGTTTTCTGAATGCCGAATATACGTGGTCGTCGTCAAGGATTTGGCTATCACTCTCCCATGCTCCTGTGTCCGGAGGTCGGAGGGCATAAAACGCCAGGTCAAAAAGCTAAACCGGGAAACCAGAGACCTCGAGTCCTAGAGGCCAATCCATATTTTTGCCAAGTCAATCAAATGGCCAGGAATTAAACATGGTGTTTAGTCGAGAGCGCCTGCGGAGCAGGGGGGCCATATCCGGCCCTGCTGACAACAAACTACTATAGAGGGCTGGGGCAAACCATGAGGGAAACAGTGGGACAAACCATAAGACCCCACCAGTATACCTTAGACAAGAAGCGTACTTAACTTATCTTAAATTTTTTGGCGTTTTCCAATTTTTTTCCGGGAATGTAGAAAGGCCTGTCGTAACATTGAACATGGTGACCTATGGAATGAGGCCGCTGCTGACTCTCACTGAAATTTGCAGTGCTGTGTAGATGTTTGGTGCACGGTCTAATGGCCACTTTCTAATTACTGAATAGCCCAATTCCAGCAGCAGAGGAACGCGAGTGTGTGAGGAACCCACGGATAAAGTACAACCTACAGGGGGACCTCCCCCATATAGCCAGTGGTCTTCCGTGCCCTTTCACCCAAGCGCTGGCCATCCACCCTGGCTTGGAGTTGTACTGAAGCCTGTGTACTTGATACTATGGCACTAAATTTCAGACACGTATGTGTGCTCCTTTAAGCGCACGGTGAAGGGAGCTCGTGTGAATGACCTCCAGACAAGAGGAGCGGAAAGATTAAGTTCCAAGGCGCACGCGACTATGACTTGTATGGCTGAATGCTAGCTCCATCGTGCTGCATTTTCGGGGCGCTAGCCCGCACCTCTGTGGACAGCATTAGTTTCCCAGGGTTCCAACTCAAGCATTGTCGCAAAAGGGAGACGCACTGTAATCCCCTCCCCAAGAATTGCCCAGCTTGCCTCTGAGTTAACCAGAAGCTAATTTAGGCTTCCTCGCCGAAGAAAGCACGAGTTGAACTCCATGTACCGTCCTGCAAGTGTCCTGTGTCTGCGGCATGCCGTCAGCGTCTACGCCCTGCATCATCTTCGTAATAAGTCAATATGCATAACTTTATGTGCACTAGTATGCGAACCTACTATAAACTCGCGCACTATCGGAAGAAACGAGGCAATGCGGCTATTCAATGGAGAATCTCCGGGGAAAAGCAAAAAAGCCTTAAGTCTCCGCTTAACCCGAAACTTGGGATAAGCGAAGACTTCAGCCATAGAGTGCCCACGTTTACGTTCAGCATTTGTTCTGGGTTGCTCTAATCAGGCGGCGTATAGCCTAAACTCTTCACAGAGTTTTCCACAGTGCGCAGAGGCGTGCCTTCCGATAAGGGTTTGGTGACGGAGACGCTCACGCTGAAGCGCCGCGACAGCAATATGGCAGTTTGGTTAAGCTTCAGGAAATGCCAACTTGCGGAGCATCAGAGGCTTGCGAAATGAAAAGACAGTAAAGTCGCTGCAGACGCAGTGGCTTCGTGTCTTCTGTATGGCCGGCCGATAGTACACAATGCCTGCAGAAATATAAGCTCTTTAGATACCAACCAAGCACTTCTCGTGCTCATAAATCAAATGCATATAGGGAAACGCTGTAAAGAAAAACAGATCAGTGAGATGAAACAGGGCTCTCAAGAAGGCTGCGATAGACCGGCCGGGAGAGGTCGTTTACAAAAAACCATGTTCTCGGGCTCAGTGGCCTCCATGGCCGTGACCCCCACCAGCAGCAGATGCCGCTGTTTCTTTACCCATCTGCAAACATATGCGCAATCCCAGAAGCACCATAAGACAAATGTACAAGCATCGCCTACGGAGGCCCACGGAAGTCCTAACAAGGAAGCTCTATTGCGTCTGGAACAGAGCCCGTCGTCATCAGGAAAATGTGAGTCGAGTGGACATTACCATATCAATGGAAAGCACCATCAAGCCAAAGCAGTCTCACTCGTTGTACCTTAAGTTTCTGTAGTTATTCAGAATTTCTGTTCACAACTCCTTAACTCGAAAGAGAGTCGTGACATATTTCAGCTTCTATAGCTTCGAGGGAAGGAGAGCTCTTGTAAAAGCAGAAGTATGTCATGATGGCCCCCTTCCTAGTTGAAAAAAATGTGAGCAGAGATTCTGTGAAAAACTGAGGAGGGAGTAAGAATAGCACACCACGCAACGAGTGAGAAGAAAAAGTACTGCGTCAGCCTTACGTTTGCCAGCCTCGTAGTGACCTGGGCATATAGAGGCTTCCCCGCCAGCTCGATTGTCACATACATGGAAATAATGCCGCATACTCCAATCATAGTGCGCCGGAAAATGGGCATAAGGACGGTGCCAGACCCGTACGTCATCTTCGGGGAGAGCTTCCTGCTTGTATGCAGCGTGAAGGACGAACTAATGGATAAAAGTCATTCACTGGATCCAGACATAGACATCGAAAGTTTCGCATATGCAATTGAGAACATCGCTCTGGTTTTTTATATCAAAGCCCTGAACGAGGATGCATGGAAGCTGTTGCATGCAGCAAACTACGCCCTTAGTCAGGATCCGTTCGACAAAATGGGCCGACGCTACTACTTGCTGAAACAGAAAAACCTATGAATTGTGTTCTTGGTTACAGCATTTCCATATCCTAGGTGACTACCGAAGGCGAAAATTAGCAGCCGTCTTTACTGTGCCTGCCCTGCCCAACTTGCTAGTTGTATTTGCTCACTTATTCGGACAAATTGCTTTCAACCAGTCATGAAATTATCAATTTAACAATTTCATGGGAAGAACTGGCAGGTTGTAGATGAGCGTGACGAGCTATGGGACTAGACAGCGGAGCTTCACACGGCAGTGAAGAATTGTTAGAAATGCCGGGAGCTGCGCACGACAGAGCGTCCGATTTGTTCACTTCAAAGCGTGCTGAGCTTTTGAATAATTAATCTTTGTATGTGCCTAGCCTTATCTTTGCTTTGGTCGATTGTAAGGAATGCGGGCGCCTTTCGAGTGCGACTACAGGGTCGTGCGGTCATGCGCTGTTGCGGCCAGAACTCCAAATTTTTGCTATTCAGGTTGCTTGTTTTCCTCCTTTGTGTAGTTCTTCTGGCCACTTTCATTTGAGAATATCCCCCCCCTCGGACCGGCATTGCCTCTAGTAGTTCGCAACTATTATGGCCGTTGTAGAGCTTGAATACCCCCCTACAGTCTAGCTTTAAAATGGGAATCAGCAGCGACAACTTTTGCATTCTGATGCAATCAAATATGTAAGTATTCGAGTATGTAATAGGAGCCACTTTAGTTTCGACGGGTAAGCGTCGTACTGGGGCAGCAGACCACGGCCCCAACGGCCAGCAGCTTTCAGCAGGCATGGGCAAACGTGCGACTCTGTTGTTACTGAATCACGACCTAAACTCCTAAGGTGCACTACGATAGGTAACAGAGAAAAGGCTGAGTGCAAAAAAGGAGTGTTGACAGCCTGCTGCTGTTGCTTTAAGCCTACGTTGGGGACTTGGGGATTCCGCATTGGTACTGTAACGGCCCAAAGCAGACCTATTCTCTGGTCCAGCGTTAGTCAGGAAAATGTCTAGGACACAGGTTGTGAGCAAAGACGCGGAAACAGCTGAACGCGGCAGATGAAAGCAACATTTCCGTTGCCTTGGTTCTTCTGCAACCGTTCAAGTCTTTCACGAAGTCTAGGGCTAACTCAAGTAATATGAAAATGGGATTAATAATGATACGCAAGGAGAGCACATTTCGAAGTCCTACCCGCGAAGGCGGAAAATGTCTCAAAAAACGATTAGCAAGACACAACTTAGAGTGTGGCAGCCTCCCTGACTGCTTTTTCTGAAGGAATGGCATCGATGCACCTCGTTGTAGCAGAACAAATCTCCCAAGTCATGGCGAGCGAGATGTGCGGTGAGGTATAGACGGGCGCATGCAAAGAGAGATGTAAATGTCCTTGATGAAGCGCCAGAAAATGCAAGAATATTGTAACCGCTATTGCATTTCTTAAATCCTCTCCAGACGTCGATGCCATAGCTCAGGAGAAATATACATATGGGCAAGAGGACAGGAGATCCTTTGCTGGGATTCACAGCTACTTGATGATGGCAAAATTGTCAGAGTAACTGTTTCGACAAAGGCCCAATTAGTCTCTGCACGTGCTCTTAGGTTGATCACTAGGAGCACAACATATTTAGCAGTGACACGGGAGAACAGTCCCGGCATCTGCACGTTAGCGAGCATGGACGAAAGCGAAGGAGCTGAACGAAACACTGGCAGCAATTGACATGCTTGCTTTACTTTTTGTCAGGGAGAAGCCGTGTTGGATCTTGTTACGCTTCAGCACTGTGATTCCAATGTTGATTAGCCACCGTTCTTTATTAGGCCGTCTATGCCACTAAGTGTGAAGGCCCCTGAGCAATATCTCGCTTCGCCTGTATTCTGTTTTCAAAATTCGTAGCGAGCGAGCGAGCCGTCACCGCCTATTTCCACAATTAGTTCCACTAGACGCCATCACAATTTTTGACACTTTGCATGCATCAGGAAAGAGACTAGCGCATTAGCCAGAAATCACGCAGGTCAGAATAATGCACAAAGAATAGATATGTCCTTGCACGGAAATTTCATTATAAAATATTTTTCGCAGCTTTCGCCCATCCATAACTAGAAAAACGGATTCAGAAGAAAGTGATGCCTAAGGAGGCAAGGAGTTTGCTTGTGAATACAGCACTCAGGAGATGATTACGCTCCCTTTGCCATGGCCGTCATCATTTGCTTGGTGCGTGGGATTATGATTTTGAGAGGTAAATATCCCCGAACTCCTCCTGGCTTGTATGATTATTCCCGTGTCCGCAGGCTCTCTTTATAGATCTAAGAGCTTTCTTTTGTAGTGCCGTTTTCGAGCATGACGGTGCTATACACAGACACTATTTGAATATCTGTGTCTCCATGCATTTGCTTTACAGGGACAGTGTCATGGAACCTGTCAAAACGTAGAAAGCCATGCTCCCATTTAATGTCAGCTACCGATGCTTTGAAAGAGCTACAACATCCCATTGTGCGGCTTTGGTGAGCCATCTAGTACACAGAGGATCTGTAATAGTGCTTCATCTCGAGCGCCAACTTGTTGTGCGTTCTCGGTGGCTCCTTGTGCCCTCAAACGATTTGGTTGCTATGTGCACCTGCGAACCAGGCATGTGGTGGGTGCAAACGAGCAGTGACACTTAAGAATAGCCAACACTGGCCAGTTTCGTCAAGCAAGGCCACAGGAAGTCCCAACACCCCAAAGGCGAGCTTACTAACACACGCTCTAGACCCTACAGGGTTGTGAGCTGAGGAGGCAGCAAGCAAAACCCCCAGACAAGAAATATTTCCGAGTTAAAACGAGACTTGAAACGGCTACAGGGCTTGGTTTTTCATCTGTTTGTGGAATGGCGGGTCTTGACGACATCACAGCCACTGCCATACGGAAAGGAGGGGTAACATCAGAGCCATTCTCACGCCAACACAGACGTCATTTATGAACACGGCCAGCGGCAACGCTTCTAGGAAAGACAACAAATGGGGTATTCCGGAGGTGGTGCTCTCCTGCGTTGCTTGCATGATATTTCTATGGCATTACTGTGCTACGTTGTCAGCCGAGCAGCGCAAGGTCCTGCCGCTCTGCAGTCGTCGCGACCACGCGGCCATCGCATCCAAAAGAAGGCCCTCAGAACTATGATCAAACACTTATATTGGCCGGCCATGTTTGCCTGTTGGCACTACACACGATGTAGCCTACATTAACCCTCAGAGCGGTGCACAAAGTAATCGCATCAATCCCACCTTGTAGCAGATGCTTTGCAACTATATTCAGCCTGCAGATCAGAAGCGGGGAAGCCTGGCTTAAAACTCGACTGGCCACACCTGAATTGAACACTCCCTGTGAAGTTATGATAAGGTAGACGCCTTTTAATGCAGCCGACTTTGATATTGTCGACAGGAGGTGGCACCTCGCCTAGCACCCCAACAACCAAAATGAAACTGTATGACAGGGTATATGGCGCAATTCAACGAGACATGTGGTTTGTGTTAGGGCAAAGACTGGCAACAAAAGGTGTATGCTGACGCCAAACGTCTTTCTGTCGAGTACAACGCAGGGAGAATGTGTGGCTCAGCAGCACATAAGCAATCGCAGTAACTATATGCCCTTAGCCCGAAACTGGTTATCGTAGCCCATTCATAGCCGCAGAGCACATTGGTGCTGTGACATACTATTCGGAATTGCCGTGAGCCTAATCTTGCCTCGACGGCTTTCACAATTTCCAACTTGCTCCACAATGCCCGCGCAATCACTACGCCGGTTGGCTTCCCATGACACAAACTCACTCGGATGCAGGTCCATCGGGCAGAGGACCAAAGGAGATGACTTCTACTACCTAGTGAAGTGGTCGCGTTTCTCTGGCGAGTAAGCTTGTTCGGAGCCTTCTAAGCAACTCGCTAGCTGCCCCGCGCAACTACGTGGCGCAAACGGTCAGTTGCTACTGTCATAGAGCCGTTATTTCACGCTCTGTTTGATACGTTCCTTCTATGACTATACGCTACTGTCGTTGTGTTTTGCCAAACATTAGTATGTGCCAGCTTTAGAGCTTATCGAGAGGCAGCAGGGGAGCGCTTGTGGCGCAGAAAAGGGCCAAGATTGTGATCGTTAAATTCCTCGCACACACACTGCCCGTGCAGTCGGTCCAGGTAGCTGCTACTCAGGGACGCCAAATATGCAGCTGAGCAACAATGATAACAGCGCTAGTGCCAATACCAGTAAAGGTTCTGAGCTTCAAAAAACAGAGGACAAAAAAATAGTGTAGCAATAACCTTTAAATAGAAAAGGAAAAAGGGACAGGCATGATAGATTGGTAAAGCTCGCACCCAATAGGGCTCAGGAACATGAAACCGACGGGCCTCCACTAGTTAAAATTTTATTGTCCCTAGAGTAAAGTGAGGTAAAATAAAAACTAGAAGCACTAGTATAGGCAGCTAGATTACAATAGAGCAAACGTACTCAGCAATTAGAGGCGACAGAGAGAAAAAGAGGAAAATGTACAGTGAAATAGTGCCAAATGAAGCTAGCAGTAGTATGAAGAAACAGAATGCGTTACAATTGAGGTCAAAATTGACAGTAAAGCAAAACATGAGAAGCACAGGAACTAAAAGAATAGCTAACCATTCAGCGAAATGACTAGAACTTGCACTTATTTTAGGGTGAACCATGAAGGGAAACACGGAAGAAAAGCAACAGTCTTGCAAGTGGATGCAATGCCTAATAGAAAATACAAGATTTTACATCATGTAAAAAAAAGTTAGAGCAATTATCATACGTCGTACCCAGAAGTGCCCACCTACACTGGACGACTGGATTTGACCTACGCAGACACAATGTGAAACAATACGAGCGACAAAGGCGACGCATAGGATAATTGTATTTCCATCGCTGGTGGAAGAGGAGACAACTGCAGGGAGACCCTCCCACAGCAAGAGATAGCAACACACGAGCAACACGCACACATAGTAGCAGCAACCGCAAAGCGCTGCGATCCCGAGCAGAAGTGAGGCAAGGAAAAGTGGAAACACAGTTGAGCATACAGGAAAGGAGAAGAAGCGCAAAGGCTCCTCATAGTGATCAGCCAAACATTGTGGAAAGAAGGAAAGTTGAGGTGCGTAACACTACAATGTAGCCCACAAATATCTTTCAGGGTTATATAATGCAGACTATGTTGATTGGCGTAATAGCTAAAGTAATTACCTAGCAAAGAAGCCCCATATTTAGGCAAAAAAGTACAGCATGTTCTAGATTTAAATGCTTGGGGCTGTTAAGAATCAGTGAAGCTGCCGTGTGCAGCTGGACCACGGAGAAACTCAAGTGTATCTCTCTAGAAAATGGACCTAGAATAATGCTTTCTGGATTTTTTAAAAGGATAAGAAGTGTCCTCAGTAAGTAGTATTAGGTGTGATTCTACAAGGCCAGAGCCAATGAAATGCAAAGCAGCCGTGGTAGGCTCTCAACGCAACACCCAGCCCCACAATGGCCATATTGGAAAGCTTGGGATTTGGGCCTTCTTGACGCTCGACCTCTCTGTGCAACCATGAAACAAAATGCCTTGATTATCGTTTTAAGGACGTCCTACTTATGATTTTGTACACACTTCGAGCTTTGTGCTGTCGAGCAGTTAGCTCTCGAGTGCTTAGAGTATTGGGGGCTTACGACAAGTCTGCTATAGTTCGGTTTTTAGCTCAGTCTTATTCGTTTAATTCACCTTTTCCAGCGACAAAAATCTTTAAATGGTACAAGTTGATTAGAAGCGTATGTCCTAAAAGCAGCGAAAACATGAAATAAGTCTCCTAACGACATCTGAAGCAGCAGAGGTCGAGGTGTCTCGTACATTTGTGGGGGAAGTGATGATCTTCCAAAATAGACAAAGCGTGTCTGGAAAATAAGTATTTACGATACAGCTGCAAACGCCAGTGCATGCATTAAGTGGGCAGCCCCATGATCCACAGCAGCACACCCACGTAGATCACTGCATCTAGCAAGCTCGAGACGCAATGTAATTCCGAGCCAAATTTTCCTCCAGAAAATGGCGTAAAAGCTTTGTAACCCTATATAGGGAATTTTAACACCTAGGGAGCCCTGTACATATTTACGTTAAACTACCAAATGCAATCCAAAATAGTAACCGGCGTCTGCATACTTTGACGCGTCTAGCTTTGTAACTCGCCATATGACACTATAAGTGCTGGCTGAACTGTACTCCTAACTAACAACCGTCATCAGCATACTTTGATACGATTGGTTTTGTAGCTTGTCGCGCCTTGAACCTGTATACGTCGGCGTTTCGGTCGTTGGTTATTAGGCCGTGTACACAAAAAACGGTATGGTTGCCTCCCCAGTGTGAGTATTGCCTCACGGATGCTTACTTTCAAAAGCTTTTGAAGACGACGCATCCTACTGACTGAAGAATCTTAGAAATATACACATCTTGCATAGTGCAAAAACGTAGTGCGGGATCAGAAAAAGCATGTGGGGAGCTTAATGTCTTCACATACTCATCTGTCATATCGAAGCTGCTCGTCATCCCTAATGCCCAAGTCTTCGTAGGAGAAGCAGCTGGATGCTGCTACTGATATTTAACAGCAAGGGGTTTGTCGCCAAAGTAACTCAACAGGCGACTTGTTGGGACTTGTTCAACTCAGCTGCTGTTAACCCTGCCGGACGCTCACTGCAAGCTCTCGCAATGCACAAAATCGACAGTTTAGACTGTGTGACTATCGAACCACAGCAGCGCTTAAACACTGAAAGATAAATCCTGTGATGCCGGGGGAAGACGAGCCACATAATCGTCGTGCTTGCCAGGAAGCACGCATATTCAACCCTTTAGAGGGCAACTCAGCAAGACTTCTGTGAGTGAGGAATGACGGCGCCTGTCTCTGCGCCACGCGCAGCCGCTTTCTGTCTGCAATAAAGCAAGGCACGTGCCGGAAGAGAATTGCTCTCATTTGGGAGAGAAAACCGTGGCTATTTCCGGGGGATAGCATTTCCTGGCACGCCTCCAATGCCGTTGATAAATTCGAACAAAGTATGAAAGTGCCGGCTCTTACAAGCCAAAATGCCTACAAATTTGTGGCAGTTCATGGTTTGGGGGAGGTGTAGGCATCGAAGATTCAGTGCAGTCGCAACTACCTTTCTCGCTGTCTTTACAATCCTGATGCTTTTTCCTCAACGTCTTCCACATGCAGGGCTTTGTACATTCGAATCTGGTAAATATGCAGCTCTGTCAATCGGACTTATCCTTCCCGTCACAGCTATCCCGAAAATTGAGCTTCTTGAGGTTCTCTTTGCAGCAAACCACAGTTTAGCGAACGACTATGGGGTCTCTTACGAACCATATGGTATGTATATGGAGTCAGGCGAGCCCTATTCCGAGCCGCTGCTAGTTGATGCAGCAGATTCTGGGTCTATTCACATCGTATATCACCACTGCCCTTATACAGATGCAGCACTGCGTGGTTGGAGGTTCGAAGGCAACCAATTCATCACTGCAAACCCTGGGGAGACTCCGTTGCTGCTCAGTAGGAGGGAAAAAATGTGCGTTGCTAGGCGTGTGGAGATTCGCAGCGACGGAGAGCAGGAGGGGTCGGAGCTGACTTTAACTGCCGGTGATCGACAAGAGCCGCGCTTTTTTGGCTATAGGGTGGATGAACAAGGTTACATAGCTTATTTTGTTGCATTTACACGCATGTTGCCTTCTGCATGCGTTAACTTACAGTGCTGTGTCGCCAACTCAAATTTGCCATGCGAAATAGTCTTCTACGATGTGCGCGCTCCAGAAAAGCTGTCGCTCTTTGAGAAGGTCGTTGGCAGTCCAAGTGTTAACCTTAGTCACGATTGTCCTCTGTGCCTCCATTATGGCGGAGAAGATGGGGTGCCGCTTGAGTATTTCACTTCCATTGAAGAGTACCAGCTTTCTCAAGACTGTCCGAATCTTAAGCCACACACGTACGGAGATTCGTTTGTGTTTCTGGGGCCAGGGACTGATGGAAGCCGTGTCCACAAGCACTTCGCCATTGGTTCGCTCAGCAACACATTGCAGATAAGGGAGTTTGGTAGGATGACTCAAGTTTCAGTGCAATACCCTAACAACCTGTGGCTTTCACGAGCGGGAGCCTACCATGAGAATTTTTATCCGCCTGAAGCGATGAGAAGCTACTACATTGTTCGGGGGGCTGAGTACACGCGTGCGGATGAGAGTAGGGAAAAACTTCAACAGGTGCTATTCTACTACGATTCTTTGTCCAATGCACAAGAGAACAAGGGGTCATCGTTTATATCGAATCTTAAAAAGCCTGAGGTGGCGAACACCAAAATTCCCGACGCCATCTTCGCTGAGCACCCTATTGCTAACGATGTGACGTACTTCCACAGTAATCCCGTAGAAAGTGAATTTAGGTTCGTTGCTGGAGGAGGCTTCAAACTTCCATCTGTCAAGTTTGCCAGCCCTGCCACAATCAAAGGCTTCTGCGCTGCGCCGCTGTTCTATGATCAGTGGGCAGTTTTCCTTGCTCTCGAAGAGACAGCTTCACAATCTACACAGCAGCGGCAGAAGCCATCGCCCACAGCGCGAAGCGACGATGCTTCTTGGGAAACAACTCCCCTTCCTTGGTGGGACGATACAGCACTTCCCGAGTTCTCCAAAGCGCGTCGGGGGCAGTTGCTCTACATGCAGGTCCCCATCTCTGGTAGTCGTTCGTACAACGAAATGACACTAAGAGTCTTCAATGCGGACTCGTACCGTTCATTTCACTGTTCTGCTGCGGGCAGTACTTCGGTGCTGCTGCTGCACCATGACACAGTGAACCACATTCTCCACGTAGAAGAACGACTGAGAGACGGGTCTCTAATAGAGGAGTCGCAGATTGAAATAAGGCGCGTCTTGCATGGTTCCCTGTTGCCAACCAGGACAGTGACATCTCTACAGAAAGCTCCAGACTCAGTAATCTGGATTAACTTGTTGACGACGAAAAGGTTCTCGGTGGACGAAAGTTTTTACTACGTCCCGGCAGAACTCCCAGGAAGGATTGCTTCTGTACAAAGGGCCACCGGATTCTACACAGATGGCGATTGTCTTGGAGAGTTCGTATTTTGCGTGGCAGCATCATGCATCCTGTAGTGTGCACCTTATCTTTGCATTAGTGTGGACAGACGCCCTTGCTGGTCAGTAAGGAGATCCAACATGCATTCGATGCCTTTGTGACTCAGGTGGTCACCTTCATTATCGACAGCGAATTGTTCGGAGTTCTGCGTCTCTCTTCATGCGTACCAAGTAAAGGTTGCTTCCCGCGGGGGCTCTGCTTGCGCTTTTCAGGCCGGCGTTGAGCTGGCCAAGCACTGCCTCGAGTCTCCATGCAGTCGTGTTGATATTGGGAATATCCTCATCAACAGGCAGCCCGTCAACGCAGACGGAGAACCAGATGCAGCCTCTGCAAGCATGAAAAATGGCACACTATCTCTACATACGCAGATATCTGGGCCCTCCGCGACATTAAAATTTGCTGGACGCTTGCCTGAGGAACTTACGCCGCAGCTGGATGAACAAATGTTGAGATCTTTTGATAAATTGGGGAATTCTGAGAGTCCTGAGATACAGCTGTGGCAAGATGGGTTGCTGGATACCTCAACGCAAATCCAACTCGGAGCAAACGGGGAAGCATTAGTAACTGTCGAGCTCAAAAGTGTCATAGATTTGTGGCATATACGCTTGGCATTTGTATCCGTAGCAGGTACAGAAGCAGCTCAAGTTGCTTCTTTCAACTTTTCACTGTCAGTTGTCGATGACAGTGGAGAGGATATCCATACATGGGAAACAAGTGTACCTCCATCCCCAGCTGCGCAAAGCGTGTGGGAGGCGATGGATTTGCGGTTGTACCGGGCTAAAACAATATCCATAAAGGCAACGCAGCCGTTTCGAATTGCAGAGTTTCAAGTATTTGGCATGCCTTTGGAAACCTGTCCTCCAGGAGGCTTCTTGGGTCCTTCCAGCTGTAGTGTGCCAGTTGTACAGAGGCTTACATCTCACTTGAGCCTCGACTGTCAAGGAGCGTGGAGCGAGTGGACGGCGTGTCAAGCCGACTGTCGACGAAAAAGGCGTGTACTGACCTTACTTTTATGCGTATAAACCAATGATATCCTACATTTTCATTGTCTAGCTACGCCAGCCAGCAGTCGAACAGATATAGAAGCTTGAAAGTTAGGCGACAAACAGGAATACCTGGTAATGGGTTACACCACATCTTTGTGGTTTGTCTTGCCGTAGGTTCATGCAAGTATACCAAACGGAAAAGGAAGGGGGAATTCCCTGCGAGTTTTTCCAGCATGAGCCTTGCGCAGGTGGGCTATGCCATTCGCACTGAACTCCCCATCTATTGGCTACGTAATTCCCAGAATTATAAATAGACAACTAGTTTGAGCTCCTATCTTTTGCGTTCACTAATCTGTTTTCGGTTTTTGGGGAAGCGCTTAAGGTTTTCCTATTAAACAAGAGATGATATTGTTCCTTCGCTCCACAGCAGTTGCTGCGACCATAAAATTCCTGCCGTATTCATGTAAATTTGAGATACAGATGGGCTATGCAACTCCGTTTTTGGAGTAAGCCTTTTAAGAGCCGAAGACTGCTATCCGTCTCCGTCTCGCTGGTCGGAGTGTATCGGGTGCAGACAAATGCGTGTGTGGCATATACTTCGTGCCGCCGCTGCGGAAGGAAAACCTTGCCCATCTAGCATTTTCGAGACCCGCACTTGCACGAGCGGTGAGGGCTGTGAAGTCAGCCTCGTTACCTTCCCTGTGCCGCCAGACCAACCAGCCACTGACGACGACGGTGCGTCAAACGAAAATGACCTCATGCGCCCGATTGGTGGAGTTTTTTTATTGGCAGCTGTTGGTTGTGTCCTATTACTATTAGCGGGTCTTGAGATGTGGAGACGTTGGGGCACATCCATGGCTGCCTATAGAGAAGTAATCAATATGCAGCGTCAGAGAGACCTAATGGCAGCACGCGAGCAGATGATTAAGTACAAGAAAATGATCCAAGAGTACAAGGATCAGGTTGAGAGAGAGGAGGGGAAAGATGCTTCTCAAGAAGAAGCCTTGGAGCAATTGGATTCGTTGTTAATGCAGCATGTCGTAACCGACACTGCAGAAGAAGAACAGACTTTGAAAAGTGGAAGTGGCACCCATACTCACGAGAATTCCGACAACATTGGTGCTTTAACTGGGAGAGAAGGCACTAAGGATGATGGCAGTATTGATCTGACAAAGTTAGAGAGCCAGGAAGCTGAGCAACCTTTATAGGCATCCTACTGAGTCCTGGACGGATGGCTCAGCATAAGTAGAGCTGTATGTCTCCTATTTCTTATCTTCAACCCTGAAGTGAAATTGCAAAGCTGAGGAGTCTCATAACTCCAAAAGTTCCTTCTATTTGATCGCCACAGCAAAATATTTAGCTATTGCTTCTGTGATTGACTTTCCTATGCAGATCTTTTGAATACTACGCAATATGCTGCGTTGTAGCGAGTGAAATTTTCCGTACACGTTACGCTATGACGGCCATTCATTGCCCGATGCTCTAAGGTGTGACGTATGAATTTTTAATTTTGGAATCATGCTCCATTATATCGTCAGCGTCGTCTTCTCCAATAACAGCCCTAACGTGGTAGTTCTTTTCTAAATGTGTTGTGTCCTTAATATTAACTAAGGCCCTACAATCTGTTTTTGTATTCGCATGTTCAAAAATAGTTCCGGCTAAATACAGTTTCGCTCTCCAAAGCGTTGTTACGGATAATCACGTGGATGCTGGAGGGCCAAGCATGGAAATTTGGACGGGAGTCGAGTGCGCATCAAAGCTCTGTTTCGGGACAAGCCGATTACTTCAATGACAGATTTGAAATTTTATGATCAGCTGCTTTTGGACACTTTTTCCTTTTTGTAGCTAGCTTTCCTTTGCACTTTTCCTGACATGCCCACGCTTGCCCAGTTGTTGTAGTGATCGCGCTTATTGAAGCAGATTTGTATAGTTTACTGCGTTACTCGAACAAGTGCTGGCATTGTTCAAATAGAACTTTATCGCAACAAAAGCATATATTCTTGGGGTTTTAGTCTCCGTATTGAATATTTGAGGCACTGCCATTGCGGTACCATGTGGAATTGTCCTCCAACAATGGGACGAGAGAGACCACCAGACGGTAAGCTCTGCGACAGCAAGAAATCAAGCCAGAAACAGGACTGCCATTGGCCCCTGCAGATTATGAATTTGGGACTCAGGGCTTCGGTACGTGACTGAAGTGGAGCCATGTGAAGGCATGATACAGCTGCACGGGTTCATGGACACCCTAGGGCCACGTTGAGCTTTCAGGCTTTGTTTCCAGCAGGAAAGCAGTTGGTGCTAAACCAGAGACTAAAGGAGAGAAATAAAAAGAAATTGAAGGCAACGAAAGTAGAAGTTGTGAATAAAAAGAAAGACAGGCGAGGAAGAGGCGAAGAAAAGGAGACACAGGAGGAATATATATTTCATTACGCTGCTTCTTTGCAGTGTTCAACCCGTCTAAATAGCTGGCCACAACTGCAAAAATGCATACGAACAGATAAAACAAGGTACGTTTTTGTCGTGCCTAGGCATGCATTTACACATTAACACTCCATGGTCACGACTTCGCAACAGTGCAACGAACTCCAATTCTGCCGCACACCCAGCGATTCCTGGCGCTACAATTTGCGGAGGTCGCTAGACGTAGCAGAGCATTTTCAAGAGCTCTCATACTTTGCAAGCAAGTCCAAGAAAGCAACATGCCTCAGAAGCACGAAATTCTCCTCTTAGCTTAATTGCCGGGACCAAGCTAAGGAGAACGGCCGAAGCAGATAAGAAAGCCATTTAACTTTACTCACCGCCAATATTGATACTCTAAATAGGGAAAACAGGAACATACGAACACATACAATTTGACTCGAATGAGTCTTGTCTGGAGTGTTGGTTTTGTCCCTGGATGCCTTGTAGTAAATACATACCGTGCTAGTTAGAGGTGACTTACTGGAGCAAAGCGCGAGTAGTGTTTCTGCGAAGGGAACAGGAAAAACACCTTTGCGCTTTTTCCTTGCCATTATTTAGACAACGAAAAGAGACCTCTTCCTTTCGTACCGATGATGATGCTACCTTCTGACCTCGCGCCAGTGTGTGCACAGCAAATTGGTGTAGCTCACCAACTGCCTCGATGCTGCTGAGCGATCCATTTGCAAACTCGGAGAGCCCGCATTTTCCATACGTAGTCCAGATCAGATCGATTTAGTTGTCAGCCGCATATTTCAGAGACGCACTACGCCCAGCATAGGTTGCGAGCCTCGCTAGACTGCGAGGTCACCCTTCTGGATGCGAGTAGCTCCTGTCTCTTCAGACTTGCCTACTACAACCTGGGTCCGGCCACGTGCACAGGATTGGTTGAGCTCAAAACACGCAGAACAGTGTTTCCCGCGCATATGGATGGAAATTCGTAGTGCGGAAGAAGGCTGATACAGTCAAGCTCACACCAAGCATTATAGCCGCTTCCACTCATTTGTGCACGCCTGATCGAAGCCAATAACCCCAATGACAAATAGGCGCCTAGAAAATATCATATTTATCGGACTCTCGGTTGCGTAAATAGCGGAACTGGCCGCGCCTTACCGGACTGCTGTTCCTCGTAACCAATGCAGTCTGCCTCCCAGGTCCCCCGCAAGGGGGACCTGGGGATGGGGAGGGGGAGCGGGAAGGGGGTTGGGAAGTGTGGGCGCATCTCAGCTGTTACTGATATGGTGCCTGTCACCACTTTTACAGATACTTTTTGCTAATCCCCAAGGTCAATAGTGTCTCAAAATTCTGGAACAGGATGCTTTTAAAGGTAGAAAGACGAAAACACCGAAGCTCACCTCTCTCGTCCTTGATTTCCCTTGCTCCAAACCCATTATCTTCACGAAGCATAAGAGGCGTGCTTACTGAATGATTGCGTGAAAGAAGTATTCTAGCAGCATTGTGCTCGATCCACCGCTGAGTGCCTTTTGCTGTTCCCCTTACCTTATAAATTTCGTGGGAAAGGTTGTAACCGTTGACGCAGGTTTGAAGCTTGAACTGACACTGAAGGGCCTTCTAAGAGGTCTCGATAAAATGAAACTCTTCTTGGCCACCGTTCGTGCACTATTGGATACCGTTCATGCATCGTGGGCCGGTCACGCGTTTCGTCATTCTTATTCCTATCACCACAAATGCCCACTCTGGAAATTTAGCGTAAGCTTACGAACGTTTCTGCATAATCAAATACAAATATAGGAGAGCGCAGCAAGATACACCGAGCCGAGCATCTGCCTTTCACAAGCCACACGATGCCGGGTGTTTGAACGGAATATTCTGGGTCTCGTTCCGGCAACACGCTCGCCGCCCCGTAGTTACTTGTTGCATGCGCGACAGTTTGACCAGTACTATCGCTGGTGCTACAGCAAGTCCTTAAAGCCTCTATTCGTGTTTTTGCTGCTAGTCAAACACTAATTGCAGTGCTTGAGCTTTATTCCTGCAGAGTAGTCTACGTGTTGAGGAGCGGCCGCTAGAGTAGTGGGTTACAAGGCTGGCGGCAAGTGAGTGAACTATGATATTGGTGTAGCGATATACAACTACAGGCCTTATCTGAGGGACTGCAGCCTCCAGCCTCCTAACACCGGGGAGGAAAGTGCGAAGCCCGTGATTCACCTTGCTTGTTCTTGAGTACCTGCCCTCCGGAAAGTGACGTTCATGCTAAAGGTGTGCCTAATTCTTCCCAAACTTAACAAAGAGGCTGCACTCCCGTACCCTGTTGCAGCCTGGTAGCGAGATGTCCGGATGGCGCAGATTATTAACGCGGCGCATACAGAGGCCGCTGCCTACAACAGGAGAGCGGAAATTTAAGGAACCCGGCACCTCTTTACAAAGAGTTTCCGGCTTCTCTCTCGCCTACAAAAGTCGTATTTCAACTCGGGAAGAGTTTACTTGTTAGGGCTAGAGTCGTGATATGAAACCTGTGCAGTTCGTAATTCCCAATCCTCTCTAGCGCCTATACCATGACCGTCAACTTCGTCAGTGCTTAAAACCGCTAGTTCGAGGGATGCGCGTGAGATCGGTCTATATCAAATGCAGATAAAACGCGTAAATATGCTCTCAATGGCTGGCTTCTGATGGGACAAGGGCCCATGCAATGAGGGTCATGAACAACAGCCCATCTGGCTCAAGCTGGTGAGCAACTGTGCTTCTCAGCTGTTGCCGTGATCCCCGCAACAAATCTTCTCTCCCATTCGCTTGGTATGTGGGAGCCGCCCGCACTAAATACTCAGTTGTTGTGTTTTCTTGAGGCGGAGTTGGTTGGAATAGTGGGTCTCTGGAGTTGGAGGCAGCCGAAAATGGGTGTAAGCCTCGACAAGCAAAGTTAAATTTGGCTTTGTGATCTGTGCAGGCATTGGCCAAAGGCTCCTAATCCGTGGAAGGTTGTTCACAGCCACTGGACTTCATTCACGACAATCCACAAATATGGGAGTACAGCCGCTACATGGAACTCGCATGTTGCACGACACGCAAGGAAGTAAACAATACAAGGATTCCCAATTTCCCAGCATTGATTGCCTTCTCGGCTGTACTCTTCTCCCCATTTTCGCGCTCAATTAGCCAGAACACTATAGTGAACAAACAGCGGAAGGCAAGATGGAGTCAGTGGTCGGCCCGACCAAGCCAGCATATTTCTTATCGAAGTGAAAGGTTGGTTTAACTAAATAATCAGTACTGCAATAACTCGACATCCCTGAAGAAACCGTTCACTCACAGCCATCTAAACTGTCCAAATTGGCGGTGTATACGGAAGCCCGGGGGTGAAGTACAGGACTGCAAGCCATAATTGGAATCTGTTGGTACGAGTGAGTTGCATCGCTGGATATATGCCCATCTCGCGACCCTACCGCAATACCACATCTTACGCAACACCACCTCTGAGTACACTTACCACGCTGGGCGCATATAACGACGGAACACATTCACAGTGAATACAGATATCCAATACAACATTCTTGGGAGAAATGTTCCGAAGCTTCAGAGGGCAAGTTCGCAGCATATGTTTTACAAAGGCAATGACAACAACGAAATCATCCGCAGGTAAGCGGGACGACTAGCAGTGCGCCTGTGTGCAACCTCCTCCAAGCAGCCGAAATTGTCAGCTGCGCGCGAATCAACGTTCTTCTTTGTTTTCCTGCCTAAGATGGCAGCATTCAGGGAATCCTCACTGCCGTTGATGAAGAGCGAATGCAGTACGGCAGCGGGCGAGGACGGTGCCGCAAATGCTGTTCCTCGAGTAGATGCAACTTGCGTCTAATGCTCGGCTCTGCGCGAACAAATAACCTCAGTCAATCTTAACCTTACTCCAATGCGGGAAAATATGCTCATGCGTGCGTACAATTTCCCCGTCTGGAGGATCGCTACCATCAGAGCAAAGTGCTGGCTTCTGCGTCAGCTGCTGCCGCCGCTGCTGCCGCCATGGCCGCAGTAGCCACCACACCGGATGTCTCGGCTACCTAATCGCTTCAGCTTCCTTGCAGTTCATTGTTGTGCCATTTAGCGTCTTTGCTGCCGCACAGGGAGCAGCAGCAGCAGCCGACCCGATCCCTTGGGAGCCCACCAAGTGCTGCGCTTGCTTAGCAGCTACAGGAGCTGCCGCGGGGTTGCTCCCTGAGGCAACGTGCATGTATGGTCCGGCAGCCTGCTTGGTGTCGCAGCCGTACTTCTTGGAAGCGAGAGAGACTGTGGGAGAACGCAAATCACTCCAGCCGCTTCCAGGGGAGTCTGGGGACCGCAGGAGCGTTGGAGGCTGCCTGCCGGCATCAACAGGAACAAACGCATTCTTATTCTTCTGTGGTTGCCGAGTTCTGGCTGCGTTCAAGGGGGTTCACCTCTTCCCCTTCTGGCGAGTTTTTGCTGCGTCTTTCCCTAAGAAGCAGCGCCACGTGCGTGGCGTGCCTCATCCTGACGCGGTGCACCTTTTACGTGAAAGCGTCGATAGCATCGGTCATCTACGGCAGCGTGCTGCTGCTTCCGTTACCTTTACACTGCTTGTGGCGGGCCGTCTTGTAGAGGGGCCATCTGCTCGTTCCCTGCTGGACGCAGACCCGGCGCCCGACATTTCCGGCAGCCGGGCAGTTGAGGTAAACCGGCTGCCCGGTGGCCGTCGAAATTGAAGCAGGTAACTCCTGTTCGCCTGCCTATGTCGACGAGACTTACTGAGGGGACGTGGTGTTGCCACTTGCAGGAGTTCGCTAGTTCGGCACTGGCAGGGGGATACCAGCACCAGGGGGTGGCTTCGCGGGCTACTGTAGCTTTCCAGGAAATTTCAAAAATAGTTGTGGTGTTAGCTGACACGTTGGTACCGTATTGAAACTGAAATTGACATTGGGTGGCTGCCGAAGTCCAGGGGTCGGCTAACGGCGGGACTGTAGATGCGCCTCCGTATAAAGTCTCAATCACTTCAACACATTTTCTTTTTGGCCAGTTGCGTGTTGTTCATTTGTTCGTACTAGGATCTCCACAGTAAGGAACAAATCGCGCTATTTTTAAGGAGTGTGTATACTTGGGGTGTTACTCGTGAGTATTGCTGATGATGGACGTCCGTGTGGGGGGAAAGTATCGTTTGGGGAGGAAGATTGGGAGCGGATCCTTCGGCGACATCTACCTTGGTGAGGCGGATTTGTTTCTTCACTGTAGGCATCACATGGTTGCAATGAATCCTGCGCACCATATGTAATGTACGGAGGTTCAACGGCGGAAGTATGGGTAGTGTGGAACAGAATTCACATTATACGTGCGGGTTGTTGATGGTCCCGTAGGTACGAACATCTCCACAGGAGATGAAGTCGCTATCAAATTGGAAAGCGTGCGGTCTAGGCATCCACAACTAATCTATGAAAGCAAGCTGTACAAAATCCTCACAGGGGGAATCGGAATCCCAACTCTTTACTGGTATGGGATCGAGGGGGATTACAACGTTATGATTATTGAGCTTTTGGGCCCGTCTCTTGAGGACCTCTTCAGCATTTGCAACAGAAAGCTTTCTTTGAAGACCGTTCTGATGCTCGCTGACCAAATGGTGATCTTCTGACAGAGCCACTTTGAAGAATGTAGAAAAGAACAAAGCCTCTTGTTTTGTCCGCTCCATTAAGCCATGGAGCACGTGGTTGGCATTCTGTGTTCGCGTGCAGCTAAATCGTATTGAGTTCGTCCACAGCAGACATTTCATCCATCGAGACATCAAGCCTGACAATTTTTTGATCGGTAGGGGCAAAAAGATGTCCATTGTTTTTGCTATCGACTTTGGCCTCGCAAAGAAGTACAGAGATCCCAGAACACAGTCCCACATTCCTTATCGAGAAGGAAAGAACCTGACAGGTACGATAGCGTACGCAGCAGGCGCACGCTTATTCACCATAAAAATGCCTGATGCCACTTTCACTACCGATCTTCGACGTCCTGCCCACACGACATTGTGCTCGCAGGTACCGCGAGGTACGCCTCTGTGAACACCCACTTGGGAATAGAACAAAGCAGGCGCGATGATCTGGAAGCGCTCGGCTACGTCTTAATGTACTTCAACAGGGGTTCCTTACCCTGGCAAGGGTTAAAGGCCACTACGAAGAAAGATAAATATGACAAGATTATGGAGAAGAAGATGTCGACTCCTATTGAAGTCCTTTGCAAACAATTTCCATGTACGAGCAATATGGAGACTCCCGCTGACTATGTACCACGCAGGGTTGTGGTCTGTTTCGGGTTGTCACAGGAAATAAAAGCTGCATTGGTCAACGAAGATCAGCACACGTTTTGTTTTGTCTGCAGTTGAGTTTATCACGTATCTGAACTACTGCCGGTCTCTGCGATTCGAAGATCGCCCGGACTATTCTTATTTGAGACGGTTGTTCAAGGACCTTTTCTTCCGTGAGGGATACCAGTATGACTTTATCTTCGATTGGACATTTGTAAGCTTTTTTAAATCAACAGCTAAAGGCAGAGTGGAAATGCCGGCAGTGAAATCGGGTAACTGTTGGCGTGTGAGAACAGGATAAACCACAGGAAAGTAGAGCCCAGCGACATTTGATTGTCGCATGGGTGTCTTTTAGCGTATTGTTTGTACAAGGTATTTGCTAAAGGATTCTCACTGTGGCGCTGCACTGCACTTCGCAGTGTGCAACGTATTGGTGAGCGTGAAACAAGAAACCGTCACACCTTGTGGATGCGTTGCAGCTGCATGCTGAGAGAGAGCGCGAGCGTCAAAGACGATCGATGGTCAACCAAGGCGCAGAATCAGGGAACCAGTGGAGACGAGACGCGTCGGGCAGAGATCCACTTGGACGGTTGCCTCAGCTAGAACCGTAATCTCTTTACGGGCAGATTGCCGTACGGGTCTTCTGCTCATTCAGTGGCAGTGCCACCGCAGTGCTATCTGAGGCTGTGGCTTCAGGATGTGGTAGCCAGTTACCATGGTCACTTGCCCTCGCTAGGACAGCCTTCGCAGGGAAATGTCACAGTAGCCTGCATTGTGTGGTGTGAGAACTGCTAGCGCATTCCTGTAGTTGCTTTTACGAAGCAGGATACGCAACATGCATCACGCGGTGGTTCGAGCGCTCGCTACGCATCACAGGGCTGTGAGGCAAGTTAGTGTCTTTGGGGGACGAGTTGAGAGTGTCAGAATCGATAGTCTCAGGGCATGCAGGCGAAATGGAGGCTGCGCCAGTAGTGCCAGCCGGTGGCGAAGGCGTCAAATTTACTTTTTTTGTTGCTGGGGATATTGTTAGAGCAACAACTTGGGTCTAGATGCTACTGATAACCCTAAATGGTGAAGGGGAAGATGAGCAGAGCAGCATACATTGAGTGGTAATGGAAGCCGACCTGCAGGACCCGCCAGAAGGTCTTCGGAAGATGCCCGAGTAGTGCATTTCGATATTAATAAAGCTAGGAGGAGTGCCACTTACGGCTTTGCGTGTTAGTGGCATGTCAGCATCGGGACCGAGCTCGAATGGTCGCGGTGCTGTGCATGGCCCTGAAGGGTCTTTCTGGTTACTCTGCCAATGTAGCGAATGCCTTGTTCCTACCTACACCATGCCATGCACGAAGTGCTCCATTGCTTTTTTTGTAGTATAGTCATGTTGCTAAAGTCGACTGTTCCAGGGCAGGGACCGCGGTAGTCTACGTGTGAAACGGTGAGAACTGATATTCCGAATTTGCGGCTAAGTGGGGCTCGCCTCGTGAACTGGAGCACTTGTGAGGGGACACTACTCACGGTTTATGTTGGCAAAGCATTGTCACCGATGTCGCCACTTACTTGCAACGGGGTCCCATTTCGTTGGACATTGTGCTCCGAAGTCTCTGTTACACAGTTTGCACGGCCACTCAGCATGGCACCTTCTCGCCCATGACTCCCTCGCCAGCTCTCCCACGCTACAACAGATTGAGTAGTTTCATATTGGCAAGCGATATAAATGTACGCATAGGCCGTGAGCTCACACGTAGGCAGGAATGAAGAAGTCGTTTAAGCAGGGACCTGAGGAGAGTTATTAATCTTCGTAAGTACTCTTTAGAAGCCAGCTGCCCTGCCTTCATAGGAGGCGGTTGCTGCACAAGAAAGCAAACCATCCCCTTCAGTTGCACAGTAGGCGTTGTTGTACATTAGGTAAGAATAGCTCGGTGCGGAAAATGCGCGACGGCACCATACCTCTTGGGCGCCCCACAAGAGAGAAATTCTGCGGTGAACTGTGTCATGCTTCATGCGGAGGTTACGCTTTGCTGAACGTACGACGGGACACCTGGTTCCGCGGCAATTTTGTGCACTGTGTCGTTTAAACAACGCAAAGCATTTTCTTTCTTACAATTGAGAATAGTCTCTCTCGCAGATAGGCGATACGTCTTTCCGTAGCTGCTCTCCTTTTAGTTGCGTGCAGTTGCATTCAGGTCATCTAGTGCAGCCTGAAGTCTGCTCACTCTGGTATACTGGTTTTGGGACATTTTTCAAGCCTTCAATAAGCTGTCACGGAGGTCTGACAATGCCTTCGGGAACCCCAAGCACTGAGCGATCTTACTGCGCCAGCGATGTTGCTTTCAGCGGGAGCAGTTGCCTCTTCCTTGCTCATGGAATCAACACTGGAATTGATGATGGAAGCTGCAACGGCAATCTGAAATCGGTTTGTTATGCGGAAGCCATGCTGTTCTTTACCAGATGCCTTCCCCATTATCTCAAGGTCATCGTCCGAAAACTCCGTTGGAGCGGAAGGCTACAGGAAGTTTTCATCTCAGAGAATGGTTCGTTTTTGTGATCTGCTTACATCCCTACATTCCCCTGGTGCTCTCAGCGTGCAAGAGACAATTAGGAAAGCCAAGTACAGAGTTCTACACTCTAGCTTCTGCATGTTAAGAAAGTTACCCACTGGGAAGGAATGAAATGCCGAAACCCGTTGCACTCTCCTGGTGTACTGCGACAGTCGGAATCTAGATACACTGCTAGCATACAGGGGTAATCGCTCAAAAACTGCCACTACAAAACATTTGCACGCTATTTCGTGTTGCTTCTGGCCCATTGTCAACGTCAAGCGCTCAACCCTGCTTATATCGCCACAGGCGGAGCACAACTCCTAAGGGTTGGGTGTGCTATTCGTTTGTTGCTCACGCACGGCCTGCGTGGCAGTAAACTGACTGGTGCTGGCGAAGTTCACCAGAGGGAGTTGCATACAGATATGGAAGTGAATCGTACTTGCTACATGTGACGCTCACGACCTCGCAGTCTAGTTGATAGCAACAACAGCGCACCAGCCTTCCAGCTGTAACTCCAACTATACTTATTACGGCACGGGACACCTAACTTACGGAACTAATCATTCACAAAAAGGCTTTGCTTGGCGCTGTGGTGTTGCGTCGTCTATAATTCCAGTTATGCCATCAATGATTCCAGCCATGTCCGTTGGTATGTTGCGGTTCTGCTGGACAAGCAAATGTGCCCGCGGTTCTTTCAGAGGCTTCAGCAAAGTTGATGGAAGTACCAGTAATCAGAATTCGCTGTATTCTGAATGCTTGATTTTGTGTGTGCTTTGTTGCGGTTGAAGAGCGCATGCTGTTGATCCCTTCCACTGAAGAGCTCCGTTGCTCCGGGAAATATTTGCCGTTTGACTGGATACGCTTCTCGTGCTGAGGTTCACTGTTGTCTCTATTCACTTTACCTTCACCTGTGACACCATGATGGTCTCTTCGGAACCATCGTGTCACACACAGATGAACTGAGCTCTGCCATCAACAAGGAAAGGATCCTCAGAGCTGCAAAAACGTGCAGTCCATGTTTGGTCGATGATGCTGAGAATTATGTGCTCTATAGAAGGCCCCCGTGAGGCTGGCTTCCATAACTCAACAAGTAGCCAGACGTTCTCCGCTGGGACGGCTGTTCTTGCAAATATATTGAAAGGGGCAGTGCAACGTCTTCTTTATACACCTGTTTCGAATAAAGCTGTGAAACACCGAATTATTGTCTTCGGTCATCTGGGCTGGGGACATCTCCGAGCGCTCATAACTGCTGTGTGGTATCTCTGGGGGTTCCCAGATGTAAGCTGCTTGGTCTGATTGGAAGTATCATTTTCGTTAGCTGGCATCTTACTGTTGTAAAACCTTTGTTCATGTGTGATTAAGTGTTGTCTCTTGGACGTTCTCTAATGGCCATGCCTCAGCATACCGCCACACGAAAGAAGAGTTCAATATGCAGCATTGCGCGTTCCAGAGAATTGGGAAGTTCTTAATTTGCAGCATTTACATATTTCAATTTACACGTACTATATTGGACGTGCTCAAGTCTTTATGAATAAAGGAAGTAGTGCTCCATCGACGGCAACCTGAATTCTGAACTCCAACCGGGGATTCATCCTTGTGATAAGCTGCGTTGGGTGCTGCATTAAACATTTACGACTCCAGCTCTTCTCAGATACGGTTGACTTCCGTAAAAGAGCGCTTGCGCCGCAGCTGGAGCAGTGCACTCTGGTGGCTCCAGATATGCATGTACAATAGCGTGTCAGTGGTGAGCCGTGCAGAGCCTTGTTGGTTTTAGTCAGGTTAATCACCACATTGTGTACAAGACGTTGCCCGTAGGGTCTCTTAACACTTGAGAGTCACCAAAGCACAGAATGCTTCTGGCTGCCTGTTTACCTGAGTGCGGCAGTTTGAGGAGTTGCTTCGGCCGGCAGATCAGAAAAGCCAGCCGAAAGCTGCTCTTTGGGACTATTGTAGTGTGTGACATGCTAACGACCTATAAATGCTGTACCACTTTTCCTCTGATCCACCAGCACCCACTGCCAAGCCTACCAATTAGATACATTGGGTCCCTCCGTGGAGTGTTTCTTGCATTGCCATACTTCTCAGCTCCTTTTCCCCCTTCCATGGAATCAGAGTAGACGTAGTGGCACATAGAACTACGACTTTGCACAAATCTAGTGGCGAACGGCGACAAGCGTGCGTTTTTCCTCGATCTTTGAGGTATAGATCCCAGTGGGTTTGGGATGCAAAACCCTTTCGCCGTGTGTCGCGGGTTCACTATGGATGGTCGGTGTTTCTAGATATTCGCCCTCATTCTTCGTACTGCTTATGCGCTGGACTACTTTAGGTCGGGACTACTTTAGGTCGGCACTCAGTCAATGCTTGCAAGCCTAGTCATTCTCGCAAACATTGAAGGCGTTACCGGGACTGCCGTTCCTAGGTAGACTCTCAATTAGTTGCCTAACCCCACAAATTTATCTGCTAAGTCTACCAAATAGCGTTTGAGGAAAAAGCACATCTTGGTTTTCCGTAGTACTACCCCCCAAAATGGTCCCATAGTGCCCAACACGCTCACTCCCTGTGCGCACAAGATTTTGTCAAGCTTTCACGCATAGCATTTATGTCCAGACATAATGAACCCCAGACCCCTGAAAATCTTTCCAGCAAAAGGAAGCGTCCATTGATTGCAGTAATAGACAGGATCGCAATTGTTCGCAAAACCATAACTCTGGGTGCCTCATAACCTATCCTTTAAGCCTGAACAACTCGGTGGAATACGAAGAAGTGTACACAAGTTTCCGTGGTGCAGCTGGCAAGTTGGTGCCTTCAACAAAGAGCTAGAGTATGCCCTTGGTGATTCCTCTCTCTTAAAACATAAACCTGTACTGAAAAGCTTTGTCGCTCCACTTATGGCGGAGCACTCGCTGTTAGTATACAGTCACACATGAAAATACCAACATTCACATGATTTTACGACACACCATGAAGTTGATGTCGCAGCAAAACCCGAAAATCGCACCGTATGTATCAGTGATACTCTAGGTCGAATCATACACACTGTGTATTAAGCACTCAAAATTTATATTTACTCCGCAGCTATGTCAGGCTCCAAAAGCTGTCAGTGCTCCCTAAATTGCTAATGTAGTGCACGCTTATCCACAGAGCTCACTGCAGCAGATAAGCCAGCTCTCCTCTGTTTGGTTCACAACTGGTAAGCTGTAATGGGTCCAGAAGAGAAGGGGAGAGTCGCACGCAGCTACTGGAGACTTGATTCACAGGGTTGCGCCTATCGGTCGCTAACATCTTATCACAAAACGGACGCCTTGGTTGTATATGGTGCACCAACTACGTTCTTCACGAAAGTGTTGACCTCCCTTACTGTAGTGCAGCTTCATATTCAACCGATTTCTTTTCTCGGCACATCAGCAAAGCTGATTGCAAGTGAAGCTGATGAAAACGCTAGATAAGAATTCATAAAGATCTCTAACTTTTCGGTGGATGGTCTTCCTATTCCTACCAGCCACAGCAAGCACACTGCTGCTCCAAAAGACAAATACAGTTTTCTTTTCAGAGTCCTTGGTTCGGCGAGGGTCTCAATAAACACTGCTATGCTAAACGGGGATTAAGAATATGCTTCTCGAATAACTTTAAAGAACTGAAATAAACACACTGCTGTCCTAAACGAGGATTAACAATATGCGTCCTGAATAACTTTAAAGAACTACAGACGTCAGAGCCACCTCATCCCTCTAAAGAAGAGGCAATGAGGGCAGGACCTTGTTCTATATTCTTCTTGCATCAGCACTGCTCAAATCTTCATGTTTTGCTGGCAAATTTATCACTATTTTTAGTTGTTTTATGCATTTGATAGCAATATGTGTTGGCTGGTTCAAAAATATACGGTACGGCTACTGGAATCCCGGTCGGCCGGGCGGTTTGCTGGTGCTCGATGGGCATTAACAAGGCGACACTGAATGTGTCCCTTCAAATACTCCTGAGGAGAAACAGAACAGGTATTTTTCGAAAAAGCATTTCATGGTGTGAGAGGTTTATGCGAAAAACACGGGTAGTAATCCCACCTTCAATAAAACTGTGGTCACTGGACAGATCGAAGAGTCACCTTCTGCTATGCTTTATCAGTAGCGCGACAGAACTCCCGACTGTCATTTCTTGACGTGGTTTCGCATTGAGTTATGCTATCATTAAGGGCAATTCCTGTACATAGACAGTGCCTAAAGCGACAAAAAGTGATTTGGTAAACTGGCTGTATCATAGTGGCCGGACTCCCATCCAGAGTGCAAACACCACCAAGGCGTCCTTGGAGAGCACCGGTGAACAAGACTCACAGCTGCCGAATTATCAGTAACTTGAGAAGAACGTGAAAAGGCTGCATTTTCACTCAGGATCTGTGAGTGGGGGTTGAACGAAGTGCTCCCTTGCTCACCTTCCTTTCACACTTCGTGTTCAACCCCAGCTGGTACAGACACTACTTCGTCCTGCTAATTGTTATCCGAAATGCCGTTCACAAGCAGAATTGGCTTTTAAAGTTCACAGCACTACAAGATGGCCATATCGTTCAACCACAGTCACACCTGTCATAGACTAACTTGGCCGGTGAGCGGCGGCGTCATGAAGAGCAATTCCGCTGTGCTTTCCACTGGGTTCTCCTGGAATATTTTTTCAGGTGGAAATGGCTTATTTTCAGCAGGGGCAAAGAGCGCAACCGATTTGGGGGGTCAATGACGCGGACAGCCTCAGGCGTTCCCGTAGAAAATCGCAGGAACATATCAATCAATCGGATCCCCATGCCCCACGCAAATCCACTGACAGACGAAATTCCACTACAGAACACTCTACACTTTCGCTCTCTGCTTCAGGATCCATTGGCAGGGGAACGGCAAAGTGGCAGCAATTGGATCACTTAGACTTTTATGCCTCGCTCAAATCCACAGACAGACGAAATTCTACTACAGAGCATTCTCTACTTTCGCGCTCCGCTTCAAGATCAATTCACAGTGAAACAGCAAAGTCCGAGCTTTCAAATTTGGGACACAACGCGCACAACTCGTCCAAGCAGCCGAGTGTAGGCCAAGCCCGTCGTATTTGGCTTGAGCTGCCCGCATGGAAGTTAGAGTTTGAATCTCTGACACCGATTCAGCAGCAAGTTATGGAGTACGTAGCATCAACCAGCGAAGCTCAAAGTGCTGCTGCAAAGACACGACTTAAGAAGGCTTGGGGGCTCTTTAATGTTCCAGAGGAAGACTTTTCAGCCATAGAGCTGTACCTTGCAAAAAAGGTGCCTCTGACAATTAGAATCGACATCCAAGGACTGCTGCCTCACCTGATGAGTGATCCGTTCTACAGGTAAAGTATAGCGGACGGCACTTCGTGCTTTTCTCATCTGTGGCCCTACGTTCTTCCAGCCAAGCCACTGCTGTAGCCGCCTGACTGCTTTCGCTCACCTTGCTGTTCAGTTGGACGCTTCGTTCTGCCCACAGAACATGCTTTGAGACAAATGTAAAAGGCTCCGCATACTTGGATGCTCGGCGGGAATTCGAAGCGGTTCTTTTCAACAGCCTGTACGAGCACCCTTCAGTTCAACCGAAGGACAGGCCCAAGTAGGTCCAAAACAAAGAGTCTTATGGATCAATCACATAGATTAGCCTGGGTGATAAGTTGAAACGTTGCATGTGGGCGCTCCAGGTACGGTGTTCTGAACATGGTGTGTCATCCCTTCTCGGATTCCCGAGTTTCTATGTTCGGCAGCGCCTACCTCCTTCTTAAAGATTCACTGCGGTGAGCACTGCCCTGTTTCAGCCACTGCGTTTCCAGACAATGCCGACGAAATTCTTAGAAAGAAAAGCTTCAGACAAAACGACGCGCTGATTGGTGCACATCGGCATCATCTTATGTGACTGCCACGTCTACCCCCGTGAAAAAAAATCACGAGGCAGAAGCACGGGCAGCTCATCATTTGTGGATATGTTATGAAAAGCAGCGCTCGAACGACTGTGGCTACTAGCAAGGAGAACCTCGGTTTCAACATTCGTCGTGTTGGCACACTCGACAATATGTGGCACATTATTGAGACTCTATCCACCCATGAAGTGACAAGGATTCACGTAAGCGAACCACACGCGTAACTAAGTCCTGAAGTGAATCATTATCACTGACTCACTGCGCCGAGAAAATTTTATCTTTTTAGGCTAGGAAGTAAACTAGTGCGTGCAATATCACACCGACTCCGCAGAAATGCCAATTGTCGAATGTTTATTTTCCGTACAGGCTGTAGCGACAGGAAGAAGAGCAAAAGCAACTGTAACCCCGGATTTGAAGTATTCTGAGATACAAGTACACGGCATGGTTGACATGAGGTGCGTTCCACCAGAATTTTGGAAGGTATTCAACGTTTTTCAGCTAACTTTTTTATTTTGTTTGTTGCTTTATACTTCAGAAAAGATGTTGCTGCCATTGTCGTCCAACGACAGGATCTGCAGTGCACGATGAGGAGAAGCTTGATAGAAGACCTGAGTAAATTGTATCTCTTGCCTGTGTTGACTTGCGAAGAGCTAGATGAGAGTCTTGGTGACCGTAGGTGGTCCACAGTCGTAAATCAGAGAGCAAATGCGCTTCTCCAAAAGACTATGGCCATGCAAGGTGCCACTTTCAGCAGCGCTTCTGTGTGGTGAGAGGCCCTCAACATTTGTACACTGGCAGGAGTCAGGAAAGACTCATGCCTAAATTCGTTATCAACTCACCTGTACAGGCTTGTACCACTGCAGCATGTAATTGCTTGACTGGGCGAAGTTCTTTTCCCGAAAAAAGTAACGACTTAATGTTGTTTAGAGGCAGTTAACACAAACCCAAAACGGTCATCCTAGCAGTCGAATTGATTCCCCAAGCAGATAACAAAACCGCAGCGGAGCACTTTAAACAACAAATAGAGTTGGTCGGCAGCAACTCTCCACAGGCTGAGTAGTTCTGCTGTTGCTGCTGCTCGCCGCATGCTCTATCCTGGACAGAAAGGATTACCTGGGAAAAAGTGAACTCCCTTGCTCGAATACAATTCCTTAGGTAGAAGAATTCTGCTGTTTAGTGACCGCAGAAGCTCAGGCAGCCTTCTGAGCACCCCGGAGAGCAGAAGCGCATTCGACGTTCCATGAATGTTTTATGAAGGCTATTTTCTAAGGTGTGCCCACAATATTCTTTCTAGGGGAATATGGGCAAGCCTTCAGAAATTTCGAGTAACCAGCCGATTGGGGACCCATGCACAGAGGGCGGATGGAGATGGGGTCGGCACTTCAGAAATCAACAAAAATCCGTAGAACCTCTGTGCAAAAGCCTCGCTTCTTTGAATGAGGCCACATGCAAGTAAACAAGCTATGTATATGAACGGATGGAATATCAGAGCTTGCACTTTGCTGTGTGCAGTGCGATAAAGTAGCTCGACGGTCCTGTGCGGCCCAGGATTCACATTTGGAATCATGACTCCCACTTAAGCGCTTCGCTAAAAGGTTTGGACCACGTGGCTTAGGTGAAAGGATAACGTTTCAACGATGTTCTTTGTCCATATTTGCTGCGGGACCAGGGAAACGATGCTAACCGCGTGTTGCTCAGTTCCGCGAAGACCACCGGACCTAGAACCATCACTGCTCTTTGTTCCTACTTGTGCATAGATTGCGGCGAAAAGCACGCTCAGTTACTTGGAGACACTATAGTCGCATTATGTACACTAAATACCCCATCTATTCCAGAACTTCCGAATTCTGCATGTAGGTGACCCGCGCCAGCTACGCCTGTGCTGGCTCTTCCTACTTCTTGCTGTACCATTTCCAGCGTCTTGTGGGCAAACATTGTAACTCTTTTGACATTGTTGGCCATTCAAGAGTCTTCGAATTCACCGTTTCATTGTCACGAGCTGCTCAGTGGCAACGCCACATGCACCGGCTCGGGAATTGAACATTTCCTCATGATGGAACAGCCAACAAGAAAGCGTCTTCTGGGGTCAAGAAAATATTCTCTCCCAGGAACACGACCCCTGACCTTCGAGGAATATGAATGTCTTGCCACCACGCACCCATATGCCATCAAACAGCTCCAGAGAAGGAGGGCAACTGCACTACCGTGCGTGACTGCAAGAACATCTGAAGAAGGCTTCTACACACGATCGCAGTTGGACAAACACTCGAATGTAAGGTCGAGGAAAGAAGTAAACAACTTTTTTTCGGGAGCAGGGGGACTTTCGGATGCCGTCTCCGTGCTGCAAAGGAAAACTGAGCTTGACTACAGTTTTGCAATCAGTGAAGACCAAGCTAAAGACTTCAGAAAAGTTCACTCACGAAAGAATCGCCTCCTGTGTGCTACACAGTCATGCATGAACCCTCAGTACGCTGCCGAAGATCATCAGCTACGCAGTGTAAGCAGGATTATGGTTGGCCCGAGAGGAGAAAGAAGACTGATTCCAGAAGCGGCAGCCTCGAAATTCCCAGAGTTACGAAGTACGGAACATATACGCGACGAAGCAGACTGCCTTCAAGACAATAGGCATGAAAGTGGACGCACAACTCACGTGAGTGTTCAAAAAGCTGCCACAGCAGCATGGAATTGTGAAGGGGACGGCATTAGGCACTCGTCTCAAGTATCGCTTGCTTTCTCGACAAGTAATGAATACCATCAAAATAGAATTTCCTCAAAGGATCGCCTGCCCGAACTCTGCAACGTAGCAGAGCCATGTCTCGTAGACCGCCTAGCTGAAGCATCGGACCGAGCTATGGTTCAGTCGCTAGTGTCAGGTACAGGCACGCCCAAGAAGAGTGATAACTATATCTCCGAAGAATTACCAAGTCTCCAGGAATCTGAAGAACACATGACACGTCAAATCTTGCAAAGTGCACTGGACAAACGAGATAAAGAAATGACAAGCATCATTGGGAAGGAGTCTTCAAAGTGCAGCGAATCGAATGCTAGTGAAGGCATGCGAAGCACAAAGCAACAGCTCGCTGGACAAAGTGCATTATATTCATTCTCTGATGTGACTGTCACAGAAGAACACGAATTCTTGGCTTCGCAGGCACGAAGCTGCTTGCCAGAGCTGTCAAACGCACAGAATGTTATTGCCTTGAGCAACAGAGACACTTGTAGTGCTATTTCGATGAACGACACGAATCACGCGCATACATCAAGCACTTATTTTTGCAGCAGCACAACAAACACTAGGCACAGAGGATTAAATAGTATTCCTAACATTTCCGGGGCAATCACAGAAAGAAACCAAGGCGAAATTGACGCAGACCTCCGGCAACGTGACGCGACGAAGCATCAAGGTGATATGGAAGTTTTCCACGGCAGTACAAGTCACCGTAGTGTGCGTCACGGAGGGAGGGAAAGCAGCAAAAGCTCTGAGAGCAACGCGCGTGTGGCTGCAGCCGGTGCTGAGCAGAGTGGGGGGCATGGAAGGGATGATGGGCGTCACTCCGGGTCAGTGGCACGCCGGAGTTCAGAGCGAAATCGCGTTCCGCCACAGCCCGTCATTCCAGGAGACGGAGGCAGTATGCGCAGCAGTGGAAGTGGATCTCTGGGCAAGACTCAAGACACAGGACGCGGAGAAGGTGGCTTGACAATGACTAGGTCTCTGGAAAGGAGATATGCGAGAGACGAACGCGGCTTAAGCAAGACGTC